GGATTTAGGGTTGTACCTGGTAGGTTCGTTGATAATTTGCGTGAGGTTGAGGGCATCTAGCTTGGATTGTAGGATGGCTGGGGTATTAAGCATATCCCAATTTAGGTCACCAAGCAGTACGAACTCTGAGGATAGATGGGGGGCAATCAATTCACATATGGTGTCCAGGGCACAGCTGGGGGCTGAGGGGGGTCTGTAGCAAGCGGCAACAGTGAGAGATTTATTTCTGGAAAGGTGGATTTTTAGAACTAAAAGCTCAAACTGTTTGGGCACAGACCTGGATAGTATGATGGAGCTCTGCAGGCTATCTCTACAGTAGATTGCAACTCCACCCCCTTTGGCAGTTCTATCTAGACGGAAAATGTTATAGTTGGGGATGGAAATTTCAGAATTTTTGGTGGCCTTCCTAAGCCAGGATTCAGACACTGCTAGAACATCAGGGTTGGCGGAGTGTGCTAACGCAGTGAATAACTCAAACTTAGGAAGGAGGCTTCTGATATTTATGTGCAGAAAACCAAGACTTTTACGGTTACAGAAGTCAACAAATGATAGTTCCTGGGGAGTAGGAGTGATACTGGGGGCTGCAGGGCCTGGGTTAGCCTCTACATCACCAGAGGAACAGAGGAGGACTAGAATAAGGATATGACTAAAGGCTTTAAGAACTGGTCTTCTAGTGCGTTGGGTACATAGAATAAAGGGGGCTCATTTAACTCATTTACATTTACGTCATTTAGCAGACGCTCTTATCCAGAGCGACTTACAGTTAGTGAATACCTTTTTTTATTTTATTTTTATTTTTTATATATACTGGCCCCCCGTGGGAATCGAACCCACAACCCTGGCGTTGCAAACGCCATGCTCTATCAACTGAGCTACATCCCTGCCGGCCATTCCCTCCCCTACCCTGGACGACGCTGGGCCAATTGTGCGCCGCCCATGAGTCTCCCGGTCGCGGCCGGCTGCGACAGAGCCTGGATTCGAACCAGGATTCGAACCAGGATCTCTAGTGGCACAGTTAGCACTGCGATGCAGTGCCTTAGACCACTGCGCCACTCAGGACCAGCTCCCCACCTGTCAGTCATATGGACATCTCCATTCAGACTGATGCTCTATCACTTCCTCTGGTCTTCTGAGATTGAATCATTCAAGACAAGAAATTCCCACTGACTAAGTTAATTTTCTTTATTGCAATAATAGCCATCTCAGGTGGTTGTCATTGGGAGTCTGATCGTTAACGTGGGAGTAAATTCACAAGGGAGGTGTCATTCAAATCACTCATTATTAAAGGGTTTCTTTGAACTAGCAAACTATGCATGACAACGTAAATAAATAAATAACTAATAAATCCTTCACTGTAGAGAATACTTATGTTTCAAGTTTCAACATGTAAAGTAACCACTTATACAAATAGAAAAAATTACACTGCTCAAATAGTAAGATGACCACTTTTGAACTCACATTGTGGGATAAATACAGTGTGATTCTCTCTAACTTGTCTCCTCTCTAACCCTTCCATGGAGTCATCACATCTGCACTATCATTCTTCAGGTCTCCATCACTTCTCCCTGTCTTCTTCCTGTTTCTTCTTCTCCTTCTCCCTGTATATGTGAGCTGCTCAGTTCAAATCTGTCAGTCTTTCTACCAGTCTCTCTATCACTCTATCCTTTTCCACCATCTCTCTATCCTTCTTCATTTCTATCCTTCATCTGTCTATTTTTCTCCGTCTGTCTGCTGAACTCCCTCTCCATCTTTGTCTGTGAGATCATGATGTTCCTCTGTAACTCAGGTAGGACCATCTTCATCAGGTTTCTCTCTGCTTCAACTCTGACCTCTCCTTCATAGTTCTCCCTCATCTCCTCTATCTCCTGTCTCTCCTCCCTCTCCCTTCTCTCATTCTCTCTCTTCTCTCTAAATCTCTCCAGCTTTCTCTCCATCTCCTCCCTCCTATCAGACTCTCTCTTCAGCTCCCTCCCCAGCTCTCTTCTTCTTCTCATCCCTTTCTTCTTTCACCTGTCTCTCCAGTTCAGTGGTTCTTTCACTGTTCTAATATCTACCTCATGTTCCTGGATCACTCTCTCTATCTTCTTCAGAGAGTCCTGTCACTGTTTCTCAAGCCTCTCTCTCTCCTCCCTGTTTCCTCTCCTGTCTCTCCTTATGGATATTTTCCTCAATCTCTCTGACCTGGTCCTCTGCCTCCTGGTAGGTCTGACTGCTGTAGAATCTCTCTGTTTCCTGCCACCATCTCCTCTACCTGCTCCAGCAGCTCTGGGACCTGAGTTCCATGGGCCCTGTCCTTAATGTTGAGGACGTGGTACCTGCTCCCACATTTCTCTACAAGCTGCTGGAGGTCCTGACTCCCTGCTTGGAAAAACTCCTCAACGCTCTGCTCTTTCAGGCCATCAGCATGGGTGAATAGAATCACAGTGTGTCCCCAACAACCCTCCCCATAAATCTATAATACACACATACTGTATCTACATGTTTCGAGAACACACTGCACAGGAAATCTACAGAATAAACAAACGTTTTACTTTCACCTTTGCACAGGTAGGCTATACACAGGTACTTGGGAGTAAACTCCTCCCCCCTATATTATTCTCTCTGCTTTTTGGAAAGTGGATTTCTGCCAACATACACAATATGGTGCTATCAACTTCAACCCTAATATCCAGCCAGCAGTTGGTAGTGATGTTCTTATTGAGTAACTGATAAATGATCCAGAGCATTGTCAGTTTATCTGATATGACTTGCTTATAAATGTGGAATGACTTTCATTGTAAAGCATGTGCAGTGCTTATGAATGAATGCCTTTTAAAGCCGTTATAATTTATAATTTGTTTAATATGTGACCAAAGTTACCAGAGTGTAACTGAACTGGGTCACAATGTCTGAAATAGTTCATAGCATCCTGTTGGTTATGATTATCATAAAGATGATTAATTAATGAATTACACAAACACCAGACACCTCCAACAGCAGTCATTAACTTATTTATTATACTGAATTTACAAAATGAAAAGTAAAAGCGACACTTGAATAAACAGTATCGTACTTTTATTTTTTACGTTTTGAAAAGCGGTCCACTGTACACAAGGCTGATGAAGTTTAGAACCTTTTAAAAAACACCCAGAATCTAAAGTGGACTTTCCGTGCCGGGGCACATGAGTAAGGCGGACGCCGGTATGGAAACAACCCCTTTACTGCCACTGAGACGCAGGGAAATCAGCTTAGCCATAATAACACCCAGATTTCTACTGGTACATGAGGGGGAAGAGAGGGTAGAAAAGTAACTGATAATAATCCACCATCTTGTGCTTCTACATGCTTATTGTGATAATGGTCCTACTACAGTCTATAGCAACTAAACATTGCTCTCTCTCAATGTTTCTAGCCCATACACTTATGGTGCTTTAAAATAACTCACAGGGCACATTTAACAGTTGATCTCCACCATCGTTTAAATGGAGCCAAATATGGAGCCTTTGGATATAAAAACAACAACGTTTGTTGGATGATCTCTGTGGCCTTTCACCCAATCTTCATCTATTCCCTGACCCTTGACCTCTAATCCCTGACACTGAGATCAGAGTTCACTCCAGGTTGTAGCTACCCCTAACCACAGATCTAGGATCAGATAAACCTTCATCAATCTGAAGGTTAACCAGAAAGGTGATTAATAAATCTGACTGTATCAATGGTTAGGGGAGACTTGGACCTCCTCAGAGATTATCCTGTCCAGGAACACAGCTCTCAGATCAGTCTCTCTGTGCAGTACAGAACACGAACGTGTTTTAAGGACAGCACTTTGTCATGTTTAAACTTTACAAGGCATTTAAGGGTCCCATTCAACAGGTCCCAAAGTTGAACTGTCATATCTTAAACGGTCATATAGAAATAGCAATAGTCATCTAATGGTTATTTAAAGTTGAAATCCCTCCCGTTGGATTTGGTACCGTGAGGAGGGTACATCTCACCAGTCCTTTGTTATCAAACCATTTCCACTAACGTCATTTTCAGACAAAGATAAAAAAATACAGCTAACAGAATGGAGATACTTTACACTTTGCCAAATTATAAGGAAGCGTTAAACATCGCTGTCGTCTAAACATGTCCATTAGTCGTTGAACACCTGTGGGAGGGTTGGTGAAGAGAGAAGTTCCTTGAATGTTTTCCAAGGAATTCCTTGGATATTTGATGAGCCAATGTAAAACACAGTGGTATTCTTTACCCCAGTCTACAGAGAGTAGCATGACATATTCCTATAGCAGACTGTCATAACCCTGACCCTCAATACAATCTCATTTAACAAATAGAAACAAAAAATAAATTAAAACAATGGTGAATTCAACCATTGCCATTAAACATGGTGATTTGTAACCATGACAACCAAGATATCTTTTTTAAAGAACGCAAAAAAAGAAAGTCAATCTCTTCGGTTTGGAATGGAATTCTTACAGTATCGAAAAACATGAACCTTCATTGTCATTGGATGATATGATGCAAGGTATCGTACAGGGAAGGGAAGATAGGAGAGTAATGTAAATACTTCAGGTTTGAGTAGAGTATAGCATTTCCCATTTAGAACAGAAAAAACAGGCCGGTCCACAGTATTGACAGATGCCCACACAGCCCTGGGTGTGTGTGAGGAGGGTGGAGATGCGTGAGTGTGTGTGTGTGTGTGCGTGTGTTTGTGGAGGGAGGAGGTCACAGGCTTGCCTGAAGGGCCACCCTGCTCTCTCCCTACACCCATAGGTGGGTGGTAACAGAAGGCATGCCGAATTGAGAGAGGGTGTATATGGAAACTCCCCTGGCCAAAGGATGGGGGAAGCCATAAGGAGAGGGGTAGACATGGGGCTGTGGGGATAGTTGGAGATGTTTGGGGCAAATTAGTAATGTGGGGCAACAGAGCAGATACAGGAGCATTGGAGGGTAGTGTAGTGACAGGTTGGGGTAGCACAGGGCAGATAGGTCATGTTGAGGTCAGTTTAAGGGCAGCAGTGTTAGAAGGTCTTCCTGTGGATGGCCCGTGCTCTGTCCTCCTCATACTCCTTCTTACTGACCCACATTTTCTTAAAGGTGTCCAACGACGCCAGGATGGAGCCACTACACAGAACACAACAGAGGGAGGAGAGGAGAGGGGGATTAGGGAATAGAGAGATGTGTGACTGTGAGTGAGTCTGTGTGTGGTAATCTCTTACCCGATCCACGTGGAGTAGAGCCTCTCCTGAGGGGCGGAGATCTGGACAGGAAACACAGAGAGAAACAGGAAGTCAGCCGGGGCTTGTTGAGGAGACATCCTGCCCACACATGCTAAAAACATCAGATTAATATAGTAACATGCTGTCATGACTCTCCTGGTTGAGGATCAAAGGCCTCAGATCATCTTGGCAAATGGCTGACAACAACCAGACCCCTCCTACCCACAGAAGAGGGGAGGGGGGGGGGGGGGGGGGCTGGGCCGGTTTTGACACCTTAACACTCAGTCGTAAATTAGGCAGGAGGGGAATGTCTCCCTTGTCCTTCAGTATTGGTAAAGGAATGTGCTTTGTCTCCAGAATACTTTTGCCGCCAAAACTTTTACTTCCAAAAAGTGAACACTGGATCAATATTTCCAACATCAGAATGTGGGGAATGGTCAGTGGGGATCTAAAGAATAATAATGTCATATTGTTTATTATTTTGTGATGTCATTAAGGATGGTATCAAGAACATACTGTAATTTGGAAAGTATACACATTCTATCTGTCAAGTCTTCATCCAATACGTTGTGTGTAAGAAATGAAGAACAATGATGAAAGTATTTTTGTTAAGATTGGAATGTGATTTTAGTTTCCTAATGAGGTCTTTGTTTTTCATTTAAACTATGCACAGTAAGTAGCCACGCCCCAAGTGAGCTCAGAGATCGTGTCAGCAAGTAGGAACGCCCCTTTTACCAAGAGGGCATAAAGGCTTGAAAGACAAATTCACATCAGACCAGAAAGCGTGGAGACGGTAGTCCACACGTTTGAAATGGTTAGAACATTGAATCTCAACACGAGCTGAAGAAGATAAACTCAATAGACCAGAAAATTGCCAGTCTGCAGCTGTGCGTGTAAAGGGATATAGAACTTTGACTAAAGACACATTTTTACATTTACATTTTAGTCATTTAGCAGACGCTCTTATCCAGAGCGAGTTACAGTTAGTGAGGGCATACATTTCCCACGAGGTGGGAAGAAGAAAATCCCATCTCAGTCAATCATTAGAAGGCATCTGAGTATCTGTTCTATTTCAATGCATCAACGATAATTTGACTCTCTCTTTGTCTCTCCCCCTCCCTCCCTCTTCCTTACCTCTCCCTCTTCTGATAACCAAGCAGTCATGCTGTTAGTCCGCTAGGGACCTTTTCTCATGTATTAAGTGTATGTATTCTGTGTTATTATTTAGTTAGCTAGTAAATAAATAATTAAGCCAATTTGTGTAGTGCTGAATCATAAGTAAAGCTGGGGTTCTAGCGGATCCAAGAATTCTGCTACCGTTCAGAATGAGACTGATAAGAGGTAATGATTAATACGTTGACTGTTTTATACATTTTGATAGGTAAAGACATTTAGAGTTTAATTCGGGAGATGGTAACTCTATAAACAACTTATTACGTGGTGCCCCAAATCCTAATGAGTTAATTGTTACATGATTCATTTCATTGAGTAACAATTAAACATAGTTAGTTGATTCGATAAATAACAGTCATCATATTAATGAAAGTCACGTCACGACAATGCTGAGCTCTGGCCAAGAAGAGGTGATAAGCTGGGTCATTAATTACTATACCTTGATCTTCACATCTTTGGGAGCGAGCTTCTTCACTTCGCTTAGTAACCTGTCCCCGAAGCCTGCAGCAGAAAAGACTGTGTTAGCTAACATTTTGTAGGTTTCCACAACACTTAGCTAAGGGGCCTTAAACCACATGAGAAAACACCTACTTTCACAACACACTGCTATTAGTTGTTTTTGGTCAGTGTGTGTGTGTGACGTGTGTGTAACCTTTGAGCAGTGTGGATCCTCCAGACAGTACGATGTTGGAGAAGAGTGTGCGTCGGAGGTCCATGTCAGACTTCTGGATGGCGAAGGCCAGCACCTCGTGGATCCCCTCGCTCTCGTCTCCAATCAGGTCTGGCCTGAACAGCAGCTCTGGCGCGCGGAACCTGGCTGGACCAATCTGGACAGGGGGCAGAGGTCAGAGTTAGGGTCAACTGGGTGTCAGAGTGATGTTGTTGATGTTTGTGGTCCTTCAAATGAAAACAAAAGGTGTGTGTTTGTATGTGTGTGTGTGTCTGTGTGTGTGTGTGGTGTGTGACTCACATCCAGTGTGCTGCCGTCGGGGAGTGTGTACTGGGCCTTCTCGGTCTCCAGAGTCTCATCCTTCTGGGGGTTCAGGGACAGGTAGCAGGCTCTCTGAGGACAGAAACACACACCCACATTACCAACACATCCCTATTGACAGCTCCTATTGACAGTAGGGCTGGCCAATATATCAAATTAATTTGATTAATTCGAATGTATATTTTTACACGATATTCCAAATGCCTGTATCACATTTCGTCTTTATGAGCGTTTATGTCCGCTTGTTCTCGTGTTGTATTTTTGGTCTCGTCTCCGTCGCTCCTTATGTGCGAGATGCATGTCTCCGCCCTAACAATGGGAGTTGTTGTCCCAAAGGCAGGAAGGCAGGTGACAAGCTTAGGTAAAAAAATAAGCCCATAGAAACACATTGGGCTTATTTTGGACAGATTTTAGCGAGAGTGAAACCTCTCACTTTGCCTCTTGCTCTATGGTTTACACACACCAAGCTCCTCCCCCGGCCTCTCACGCCAACAAAGTTGAGAGATCACATCTTACTCTCTGACAAGCTGTTTCAACTCGCTATTTGCATTTGTGGTTTGGTCCAACAGAATCGGTCATATGGACACCAAAACACATTGAGACATTATTTTACTGTAATAGAGGAGAAGTTAACTTTTCTAACGATACCCTTCTTATGTCTCAACTACTCAAATTGTGCGCAGAGCAGACACTACTAAAACGGGAGTATCAATGAAAATTGATTCTGGAAAATGCATGCTCAGTTTGTCGTGCGCAGCACTGGCGTACCACGTACCACTAGCAGCATTTTAGCCAATGACTGTTATACTAGCAAGTCTGTGTTTTATAAATGTGCAATTAGCATAAAACACAATTATATAAGGAATTGGCAACTCGTTCTCATTCTGAGAAATAAGGTAGGCCACTTGATTTCAACATCTGAACAAAGTGGACAGGTTAGCATGCTGTTCAAACAGTTGGAGACTGACAGAAGGGTGTGTTCATAACAAGTCAACTGTTCTGCCTTGTTAGCTAGCAAATACATCCAAGTTGGCTAATCACTAGCACATGGGCTTGACTGATTGTTGATGAGACCTGTGTTAACTTTCTATAGCCTAATGCCTGCTAAAAGACGTTAGTCATTATTAGTGAATGTGCATTATGGATGGTTCTAGTTAAATTTTTTAACAATAAAAAACAGGTTGAACTATTTTGATAAAATAATGTAATTATTAGTGGTTCTTATGGTTGTGGAAGGCTTATATTTAGCCTAGGTATAACTTCACAAGCCCTGAATTCATTAGATTATTGCTGACTGTTTGAAATGCAGTGTATTTGACCTTTAAATTGTACAACAATGCTTATTTAGAGAAAACATAAAAATAAAAAAATAAAATAGATATATATCGTGAATCGCCCATAAGTTTGAAAAAAATGGAGATATGATATTTAGGCCATATCACCAAGGCCTAATTGACAGCAATTCCTATTGAGCCCTGCATTTTCTTCTAGTTAGGTCACACATGCACACACTGTCCGTCCCGTACCTCTTTGATGGTGCGGACCACCTCAAACTCTGCGGAGGTATGGAAGTCGTAGCCCTCCTTGCGTAGCAGCAGCCGGAGGTAACGGGACACGTCCCTTCCAGCGATGTCCACCCTCATGATGGAGTGGGGAATGGCAAAGCCCTCGTAGATGGGCACCGCGTGGGTCACCCCGTCACCCGCATCCAACACCACACCCGTGGTACGCCCTGTCGCATAGCTGGGCCAGAGAAAGGGGCGTGAGTATAACTAACACACAAAAGCGTGCCTGCACACACTAACACACACACACACACACACACAAGTATGTACACAAACACACACACTCACAGACTGAGGACTGCCTGCATGGAGATAAAGAGGGCGGGGACATTGAAGGTCTCAAAGAACACCTCAGCCGCCTTCTCCCTGTTCTTACTGGGGTTCAGAGGGGCTTCAGTCAACAGGACAGGGTGCTGGAGGGGAAGAGATATCCAGTTAGCATGCTAGCCAGAAGGCTGAAAACCGCTTTCTTAGTCATACTAGCTCCCTTGTCTGTTAAATACTTTTCACGCATTCTTACAACATCCATCATTTTTATACAATTCAATAAATCAACAAGCCTAACATTTACATTTAATACAATGGTTAACTGTTCACATAGTGAGGAGATTAGAGACAGGAAAAGAGGAGGAGGAGAATAAGGAGGTGAGAGGAGAGCCCACCTCCTCTGAGAAGGTCTGCAACTGTTCCTTAGAGTAGACGTACTGCCAGATCCTCTCCATATCGTTCCAGTCCTTCACTATACCATGCTCCATAGGATACCTGACAGACAGCAACCCTCTGTGCTCCTGGGAGGGAGGGAGATAAGAGAAGGGTTAGAGGCTTGTTGAAACAGGCCCCTTCATAGTGTGTGTGTGTGTGTGTGTAAGACTATGGTATGAAGCCTACCTCTGCTTTGGGTCCAATGAAGAGGTCCCCCTCCAGGGCTCCTGCCATCACGCGCACGTGCTTGGGCCGGCCCACACTGGATCACACACAACAGAACACAAAGTTAGAAACACAACCCCTCGGATACTATCTATCTGAATCACAGCTGTGTGTTATTGATGTAGGATAGGTAAAAATAAAGGTTTTACTAGTTGGGGAAGCAGTATTTGGGGATCTGGTCTCCAGCAAAGCCAGCTTTGACAACACCTGAACCCTGGGGAGAGACAGATGGAGGCAGAGGGAAGATTAGGAGAGAGAGGACAGGAGAGAAAGCTATGACTACTTAAGTTGTCTGTCCCACCCACCACAATTAACACTCCTCTTGTGTGTGTTGGATCATAAGACGCAGCCTGAGGCAGCAGAAGGCATCATCCCTCTCCTTCTGAGACATCACACACATTCCAGCCCCTGTCTGCTGGGTCATGGCAGCATCACTGGGCTTTAACATGCCTAGTCTTTCCTTATAATGAATAGTTATAATGGTTTGAGTACTACTCCAGTAAAACATTAGCATGAAAGGCCTCTGGGCTAATGACAGGGCAACATATGACACAGGTAGTATTATGTTGACAACAACACAACAGTTATCACCTGCAAGGTCGGGTACACTCATTCAGGTTAAATAATCTAGTAAAGCAGCTCATTTTGGAATTAAGTTGTTTATTTCTTGAGTGGTATGCGCTAAGGTGCATAATCAGTGACAGGTGGCGATAGCTAACACTTGCTAACGCTGCTAGCTAATTTCTTTCTCGGCCAACGCATTTCAAATAGATGGCTAGCCGTTCGCAAGGTGGGGTTTGTCTCCCGGCGACCCAACTGTGTGTCTAGCCGGTGTTGCAGCTAGTTACCTAGTTAGTGGCTGACGTTAACTGTAAATGTATCATATGAATCTAGCTAGCTAGTTATTTTTCCAGAACAGAACGTATGATGGAGACGACACAGGCAAACCAGTGTTTGGATGAAAAAGAACAACGCTAGCTAACTAGCTGGTTCTGCAGCACACACAGCAACATAAATATTTGACAAAGAAACATTCTACTACACGAGGTGTACGTGGAAAGAGCTGGCTAAATGCAACTGGAATATATTAATGAATAGCAAGCTAGTACACTGTATTCAGTAATGTCAGCTATCAAAGCACAGATAGAACAATGAGACAGATATTTCACCGGATGTATAAACGTGAAGCATCCACTTGGCGTTTCCACTCACTACCAAATATGGAAGCCCAATGTCCGGCAGTGGGAGTAGATTGAAGGAAATGGATTTTGGCCATCATTCTGCAAATGTTCTCCTAGATGAAACATTTGATCTCAATACAGTTTTCTTTTCCCAAAAATATAATCTGTTGTACACTTGACCCTTTGCCCCCCAAATTTTTTTTTAATCGCGTTGTTTAGAAGGGGTGCAAAGGCGAAATGAGTTATTGCACATGCGCACTTCAGAGTAGATGTTCCCTAACAGAAATATGTAGATGCATGCTAAAACTGGCCAATCGGATCTCGCCCAACTATGACTATTTTGTTTCCATTGGAAACGACAGGCTGTGGTCTATCTTGGATTAGTTATAAAAATCTTCGATCAAAGCTTCCAACACAACACTAGCTAGCCAACCTCCCTGGCTAGTCGTTAGCAAGTTAGCTAGGCAAGGGTGTGGTAGAGTGACATCATACTTACATTATCGATCACAACCGGCTGGTTAGCTATAATGTCATAGGACTCCATGACGAACTGATTGTTGAAGATATGTTTCTATTAATCCTTTGATACAATCTTGCCTATTTGATATTTTAATCATGTAAATAACGCCCCGTCACCGTGGTCTCAAACCACTCGTCGCCACTGCTTGCTTTGATCACAACCTAACCCAGTCAGTATGCGGTTGTCTCTAGAGTAGACAGACAGTGGCAACAGCCAATGGCAATGCTGCCAGCTGGAGCCCACGTGCTAGCTGTCAAACCCAGATTCAGGGTTGTGAGCTTGTGCACTGTTTTTGCCGGCTTGCTTTTCCATAATCATCATTATTATCATCATCATAATCTTTATGAATAAATGTACCTTCAGCTAAATCAACGTTGCCCCCTTTACAATATGAATAGATGAGCATCAGAGAGGGTGGAAACATAATGTCCATTACATTGTTATGTTTGTTAAATCATGGGTAATTATTAGTGAACAGAAATTATGTAGTTTTTATCTGTCTGTAAATTCCACAACATCCAAAAATGTTCACGTTGGAGAAAAAATATGATTTGCCTTTAAGATAAAGTGTCTGTAACCGGAAGGACTGTTATGTATTTTTGTCCGTCAGTAGGACTGGCAGTGCGAAGATTTTCTATCAATCAAAACTATTTTATTGTCGTTCAACTGTAAGGTACTTCGTGTTTTTTATATAGAGGCATTGTCGAGGTAAGAAAGCACTGTCATTATTCAACAACAACTAAAAGTTATGAATTCCTCCACGCTATAGATAGCTAGCTAGTATGGCTTACTGGAGGTAGCTAGTATGGCTACTCTAAACACTTGCCCGTTAGCAAGTATCACAAAGCGATTAAAATGTATGAATGACAAATTGTATGGACATATAATTTTCTGATCCAACTAAAACATAGAAAATATGCATCACAGCATTAATTGTAGCTAAGATTAGTTTGCAGTTGTTCACTGGGGCATGTCAGTTAGCTAAGGCCTTTGTAGCCAGTAGCCTGCTAAGTTACAAGTTTGGCTGAAAGTGAGTTTGTGAATGCAGAAGAAGCAAGCTGATACAGGCAGTTAGTAAATAAATGCTGTCTGTATTTTAGCCAGATGTAGAGAAACTGAAAGTGTGTGTGTGTGTGTGTGTGTGTGTGTGTGTGTGTGTGTGTGTGTGTGTGTGTGTGTGTGTGTGTGTGTGTGTGTGTGTGTGTGTGTGTGTGTGTGTAGGTCTTGCCTGGCTGGCCCATGGTGAGACGGGGACCTAGAGGAACTGAACAGACTCAACATGGCCTGTGTGGAGGAGCCCCCTGAGAAGTAAGTCTGTGTGTAACCGTGTGTGTGTCTGTGTAACCGTGTGTGCATGTTTGTATTCACCTGTGTCTCCCTCTGTGTGTGTCCAGGCACTGCTGGGTGTGTTTTGCAACAGAGAGAGAGGACCGTGTGGCAGAGTGGGTGAGCCCCTGCAGGTGTAAGGGCTGTACCAAGTGGATCCACCAGGCCTGTCTGCAGCGCTGGCTCGATGAGAAGCAGAAAGGAAACAGTGGAGGAGCCGTCAGCTGCCCTCAGTGTGGCACAGAGTACCACATTGTCTTTCCCAAAATGGGTAACTAACACACACTGCATCATCTTACCCAAGGTGGGATATAGAACAAACACACTCACCAACTAGCACACAAATACACTCTACACACCACAATGAAAGCTCTATTCTGTAGCTTTCATGTCCAGGTGTGTCAGTTAGTTAATGACTGTCTGTATATGTTTGTCGTCTTCCCCGTCCCCCTCCCCTCCCCCCTCCAGGGCCATTGGTGTACTTCCTCCAGCAGGTGGACAGTGCTCTGTCACGGGCCAGTCCATTCACTGCTGCCGGGGTGGTGGTGGGGACAGTCTATTGGTCAGCTGTCACCTATGGAGCTGTGACTGTCATGCAGGTACATGCCCCTTGACTCCTGACCCCTGAACCTTAACCCTGTCATACCCATTATACCCTTACCCTTGTACCCTTACCCCTAACCTTTGACCCATAACTAACACTAACTACTCACTAGTTCAGTAACTAGTTCAGTGAATCCATTGCATACAACAATGCAACTCAAAACACAAGATTCCCAGTTCACCTCTTTCCATCCCTCCCTCTCCCTCTTTCTCCAGGTGGTGGGCCATAAGAAGGGCTTGGATGTGATGGAGAGAGCAGATCCTCTGTTCCTCCTGATGGGTCTACCTACCATCCCTGTGATGCTTGTCCTGGGCAAGATGATCCGCTGGGAGGACTACATACTGAGGCTGTGGCAGAGACACTCCTCTAAACTACAGCTGCTATTGCCAGGTACACACACACTGGTGTATGGCTGTCTGTCTGGTGTATGGCTGTCTGTCTGGTGTATGGCTGTCTGTCTGGTGTATGGCTGTCTGTCTGGTGTATGGTTAACTCTAGAGAGAAGATGTTTAGGTTTAGTAAATGTTACAGCATATAGTACATTCTGCAAATAAATGCATATTATTAAAAAAAAGTTTTAAAAATCTCACCCCCTCCCTCCCAGGTATAGGTCGTCCATTGCCCCGTGTGCCAGCTGATGCGGGTAATGGAGGGGACCACCTGTCAGTGTCTCGTACTCTGTGTGGAGCTCTCATCTTCCCCTCTGTAGCCAGCCTGGTGGGACGACTGATCTTCAGTAGGGTACCCTCATCTCTGCAACGCACCGTTCTGGTGAGGGAATAGTGTTTGTGTATTTGTACAGTATGTCTCAAGGCTGGGGTGGCATGTGTTTTATGCTTGTCTCTTTCTCTCTCTGTGTTGTAGGGTGGTATAGCATTTGTGGTGATGAAGGGAGTGTTGAAGGTGTATTTCAAACAGCAGCAGTACCTTATTCAGGCCAACTGCCACATCCTCAACTACCCCGAGAGAGGGAGGGACGGAGAGAGGGAGGGACAGGGCGAGGGAGGAGAGGACGACACGGAGGACAGCGGAAACTAGTGAATGCAACACTCTCCTTAACCATAGAGGGGGAGGGAGGGAGAAGTAGAGGGGAGATAGTTAGAGTTAGGCACACAACGACAGCAGAAACGATTGACAGCCTCCCAGAATCCTCTATTCCCAATCGCAATGTAGTTTTATTTAACTCAGACAAGGGGTGTGTTTAGGAGGTGCATTATGTTTCCAAACAGAGAACTTGTCCAATAGGAATACAATTCTTAGTTTTGTGTTTGACATTCTTTCTCCCATTTGTGTCTCCTGAATGTAACCCAGCTCTGCTATTTGCATTGTAAGATATCCACCAAACCATGACTGTATGTGTGAGCGTGTGTGTACACTGTAGAGCCCATGCTATTTTATTTGCCTGTATGAATGAATTGGCTAATAAAGTGATATGATTGTTAAATACTGCAGTCTCTCTGTTTGATGTGATTGATTAGGATCCCCATTAGCTGACGCCAATGGCGACAGCTAGTCTTACTGGGGTCCAACACATAACAAAAAAGACAATTGACAAAATACTTTTCAATTTGCATACATTTAAAAACATGAACATGTAGTGTGTGTGTGCATCTGTCAGTTACACATACATGAACGTACATACACACAACAAGTAGGTCACATGGGGGAGAGACGTTGTGCCCTGAGGTGTTGCTATATTTTTATTTTTTAAACCAGGTTTGCTGTTCATTTGTGCTATATAAGATGGAAGGGAGTTCCATGAACTCATGGCTCTGTATAATACTGTACGTTTCCTTGAATTTGTTCTGGACCTGTGGGGGCATGTCTAGTGGGGTAAGTGTGTGTGTAAGTTGACTATGCAAACAGTTTCTTATAAAAACAAGAAATGACGCAGTCAGTCTTTCCTCAACTCTTAGCCAAGAGAGACTGGCATGCATTGTATTAATATTAGCCCTCTGATTACAATGAAGAGCAAGACCTGCGGCTCTGTTCTGGGCCAGCTGCAGCTTAACTAGGTCTTTCTTTGTAGCACTTGACCATACGACTGGACAATAATGATAAGGTAAAACTAGAGCCTGCAGGACTTGCTTTATGGAGTGTGGCGTCAAAACAGCAGAGTATCTCTTTATTACGGACAGACCTCTCCCCATCTTTACAACCATTGAATCTATGTGTTTTGACCATGACAGTTTACAATCTAAGGTAACACCAAGTAATTTAGTCTCCTCAACTTGTTCAACAGTCACACCATTCATTACCAGATTCAGCTGAGGTCTAGAACTTAGGGAATGATTTGTACCAAATACAATGCTCTTAGTTTTAGAGATGTTCAGGACCAGTTTATTACTGGCCACCATTCCAAAACAGACAGCAACTCTTTGTTAAGTGTTTCAGTAACTTCATTAGCTGTGGTTGCTGATGCATATATAGTTGAATCATCAACATATATGGACACACATGCTTTGTTTAATGCCAGTGGCAGGTCATTGGTAAAAATAGAAAAGAGTAGAGGGCCTAGAGAGCTGCCCTGCGGTAAACCACTCTTTACATGTTTGACATTAGAGAAACTTCCATTAAAGAAAACCCTCTGAGTTCTATTAGATAGATAGTTCTGGATCCAAGATATGGCAGAGGTTGAAAAGCCATAACACATAAGTTCTCAACAACAGGTTATGGTCAATAATATCAAAGGCTGCACTGAAATCTAACAGTACAGCTCCCACAATCTTATTATCCATTTCTTTTCATTTGTGTCAGTGCAGTACATGTTGAGTGCCCTTCTCTATAAACATGCTGAAAGTCTGTTGTTAATTTGTTTACAGAGAAAAATTTGGTAAAACACATTTGCTAAGAGTTGGCAGCAAGCTGGTAGGTCTGCTGTTAGAACCAGTAAAGGCGCTTTACCACTATTTGGTAACATAATGACTTTGGCTTCCTTCCAGGCCTGAGGACAAAGACTTTCGTCTTGGCACATATTTAATATATGACAGATAGGAGTGGCTATAGAGTCAGCTACCATCATCAGTAGCTTTTCATCTAAGTTGTCAATGCCAGGAGGTTTGTCATTGTTGATCGATACAGATATTTTTTCCATCTCTCCTTCTCTGAGGTGGAAACATATTTTTGAGGAAAGGAAGCGATCATTGTTTAGAAAAAATAACTATGACCAATGGCATCTCGGTAACTGCATGTGCGTTACCTCCTCCTTCATCGCTATTGGACAATATTCACTCTTTGATCGTTGATTGGACGACATCGTTGCAACGCTTTTTCAAGCTTTTTATTTTATTTTGTTGCGGATGTTTTGGGTCCAATCGAAAAATCAGGAAACGGGTGTATTTAGCTAGCTGACTTAAGCCGAGCAGCTAAATAACCAAAACGATCATGAAGAGAGTCACTCTGTTTGTCAACGGAACTTCTTCCAATGGCAAGGTAAGCAAGTTGCCGAGAAACCTGTCCTATCCGATCTCGTTCTATATCAACGGCAGCACAGATAACATCTCTGCATAGCTACTGCTGTAGCTAGCTAGCTACATCTCATCTGACTACAGTAGGTACGCTAGGTTGCCAGCAGTTTCCTCATTTGTCAGTGTACATCGCCAGATATGTTGTATTTTGTCGCATGGTTGTCATCATCTGTATCTGTGTGCGTCGTGTGTATTTTGCCGCAGGTTGTGGCGCTGTATGGATCACTGACAGACCTGCTATCCGTCGCTAGCAGTAAACTGGGAATCCGAGCCTCCAGCGTTTATAACGGGACAGGCGGTCTTATAGACGACATAACGCTCATAAGGTGAGTTCAAAATTGGCGACATAGCATAACTACTCTGCTAGCTAGGCAGGACAAAGTTATGTTCACTGCTAACATTATCAGCGTGTGTGTGTTCTGCAGGGATGATGATGTGCTGTATGTGTCTGAGGGAGACTCATTTGATGGTAAGTTGACTACAACCTCTCAACAGGTCTGACGGCTCTATTGGGAGGTACAGTGTGGGATATTCTGTGCTTCTGTCTGGGTGGGATGTAGGTGGGATGTACTTGCTATCTGTATGACTTCCCTCAGATGTGAGTAAGACAATGTGTGCAGACCCCCAGGATGACCCTGGCGGTCCAGACTGGTTCCAGACTCACACTGATTGGCTGACGCTCAATGTTGGGGGTTGCTGCTTCACCACCACACGGTAACCATGACAACCTCACAGTCTCTCTTAACTCCATTCTAGTGATGCACATAACACATAACATGTGTGGTGTGTGTTCTCTCCTCAGGAGCACGCTGGTCAGTAAACAGCCAGAGAGCATGCTGGCCCACATGTTCAGAGACAAAGGTGATGACGTCACTCCCACAATGCACCATTTTACATTTACATCATTTAGCAAACGCTCTTATCCAGAGCGACTTACAAATTGGTGTATTCAACTTATGATAGCCAGTGGGGACAACCACTTATTTTTAGTTTTTTTATGGTGGGGAGGGGGAGGGGGGATTACTTTTATACTATTCCAGGTATTCCTTAAAGAGGTAGGGTTTCAAGTGTCTCCGGAAGGTGGTCAGTGACTCTGCTGTCCTGGCGTCGTGGGGGAGCTTGTTCCACCATTGGGGTGCCAGAGCAGCAAATAGCTTTGACTGGGCTCAGCGGGAACTGTGCTTCCGTAGAGGTAGGGGAGCTAGCAGGCCAGAGGTGGATGAACGTAGTGCCCTCGTTTGGGTGTAGGGTCTGATCAGAGCCTGAAGGTAAGGAGGTGCCGTTCCCCTCACAGCTCTGTAGGCAAGCACCATGGTCTTGTAGTAGATGCGAGCCTCAACTGGAAGCCAGTGGAGTGTGCGGAGGAGCGGGGTGACATGAGAGAACTTGGGAAGGTTGAACACCAGACGGGCTGCAGCGTTCTGGATAAGTTGTAGGGGTTTAATGGCACAGGCAGGGAGCCCAGCCAACAGCAGTAATCCAGACGGGAGATGACAAGTTCCTGGATTAGGACCTGTGCCGCTTTCTGTGTAAGGTAGGGTCGTACTCTGCGAATGTTGTAGAGCATGAACCTGCAGGATCGGGTCACCGCTTTGATGTTAGCGGAGAACGACAGGGTGTTGTCCAGGGTCACGCCAAGGTTCTTTGCACTCTGGGAGGAGGACACAATGGAGTTGTCAACCGTGATGGCGAGATCATGGAGCGGGCAGTCCTTCCCCGGGAGGAAGAGCAGCTCCGTCTTGCCGAGGTTCAGCTTGAGGTGGTGATCCGACATCCACACTGATATGTCTACCAGACATGCAGAAATGCGATTTGCCACCTGGTTATCAGAAGGGGGAAAGGAGAAAATTAATTGTGTGTCGTCTGCGTAGCAATGATAGGAGAGACCATGTGAGGATATGACAGAGCCAAGTGACTTGGTGTATAGAGAGAATAGGAGAGGGCCTAGAACTGAGCCCTGGGGGACACCAGTGGTGAGAGCACGTGGTGCGGAGACAGATTCTTGCCACGCCACCTGGTAGGAGCGACCTGTCAGGTAGGACGCAATCCAAGAGTGAGCAGCGCCGGAGATGCCCAACTCGGAGAGGGCGGAGAGGAGGATCTGATGGTTCACAGTATCAAAGGCAGCAGATAGGTGTAGAAGGATAAGAGCAGAGGAGAGATAGTTAGCTTTAGCAGTGCGGAGAGCCTCCGTGACACAGAGAAGAGCAGTCTCAGTTGAATGACCAGTCTTGAAACCTGACTGGTTTGGATCAAGAAGATCATTATGAGAGAGATAGCAGGAGAGTTGGCTAGAGACGGCACGCTCAAGAGTTTTGGAGAGAAAAGAAAGAAGGGATACTGGTCTGTAGTTGTTGACATCGGAGGGATCGAGTGAAGGTTTTTTGAGGAGGGGTGCAACTCTCGCTCTCTTTAAGACGGAAGGGACATGGCCAGCGGTCAAGGATGAGTTGATGAGCGAGGTGAGGTAAGGGAGAAGGTCTCCGGAAATGGTCTGGAGAAGAGAGGAGTGGATAGGGTCAAGCAGGCAGGTTGTTGGGCGGCCGGCCGTCGCAAGTCGCAAGATTTCATCTGGAGAGAGAGGGGAGAAAGAAGTCAAAGCATAGGGTAGGGCAGTGTGAGCAGGACCAGCGGTGTCATTTGACTTAATAAATGAGGATCGGATGTCGTCAACCTTCTTTTCAAAATGGTTGACGAAGTCATCCACAGAGAGGGAGGAGGAGGAGGATTCAGCAGGGAGGAGAAGGTGGCAAAGAGCTTCCTAGGGTTAGAGGCAGAGGTTTGAAATTTAGAGTGGTAGAAAGTGGCTTTAGCAGCGTAAACAGAGGAAGAGAATGTAGAGAGGAGGGAGTGAAAAGATGACAGGTCCGCAGGGAGTCTAGTTTTCCTCCATTTCCGCTCGGCTGCCCGGAGCCCTCTTCTGTGAGCTCACAATGAGTCGTCAAGCCACGGAGCAGGAGGGGAGGACCGAGCCGGCCGGGAGGATAGGGGACATAGAGAGTCAAAAGATGCAGAAAGGGAGGAGAGGAGGGAGAAGGATTTAGCAGAGGGAAGAGATGATAGGATGGAAGAGGAGAGAGTAGCGGGAGAGAGAGAGCGACGGTTGCGACGGCACATTACCATCTGTGTAGGGGCAGAGTGAGTAGTGTTGGAGGAGAGCGAGAGAGAAAAGGATACAAAGTAGTGGTCGGAGACTTGGAGGGGAGTTGCAGTAAGATTAGTAGAAGAACAGCATCTAGTAAAGATGAGGTCAAGCGTATTGCCTGCCTTGTGAGTAGGGGTGGACGGTGAGAGGGTGAGGTCAAAAGAGGAAAGGAGTGGAAAGAAGGAGGCAGAGAGAAATTAGTCAAAGGCAGACGTAGGGAGGTTAGTCACCCAGAACTGTGAGGGGTGAGCCATCCTCAGGAAAGGAACTTATCAAGGCGTCAAGCTCATTGATGAACTCTCCAAGGGAACCTGGAGGGCGATAAATGACAAGGATGTTAATCTTGAATGGGCTAGTGACTGTGACAGCATGGAATTCAAATGAGGAGATAGACAGATGGGTCAGGGGGAAAAGAGAGAATGTCCACTTGGGAGAGATGAGGATTCCTGTGCCACTGCCGCGCTGACCAGATGCTCTCGGGGTATGCGAGAACACATGGTTAGACGAGGAAAGAGCAGTAGGAGTAGCAGTGTTTTCTGTGGTAATCCATGTTTCCGTCAGCGCCAAGAAGTCGAGGGACTGGAGGGTAGCATAGGCTGAGATGAACTCTGCCTTGTTGGCCGCAGAACGGCAGTTCCAGAGGCTGCCAGAGACTTGGAACTCCACGTGGGTTGTGCGCGCAGGGATGGCCTGTGCAGAGAGGAGAGAACAGGGATAGACAGATACAGTGGGGAGAACAAGTATTTGATACACTGCCGATTTTGCAGGTTTCCCTACTTACAAAGCATGTAGATGGTATTTGATGTATCAAATACTTATGTCATGCAATGAAATGCAAATTAATTACTTAAAAATCATACAATGTGATTTTCTGGATTTTGTCTCTCACAGTTGAAGTGTACCTATGATAAAAATTACAGACCTCTACATGCTTTTGTAAGTAGGAAAACCTGCAAAATCGGCAGTGTATCAAATACTTGTTCTCTCCACTGTACATAGTTGACAGGCTACAGAAAAAGGCTACAATAATGCAAAGGAGATCGAAATGAAATGAACTAAACATCTGGGAGAGCGAGAGATCGGGGCCTCCCTCACTTACGTTTCACTGAAACACTCAAATATAACTCTCTCAACTTCCACTTTAGAAATTATAATTGTTGTAAATATCTACACACACACACACCACTCACTGCCTGTCTCCTCCACCCATTATTCATGTCCCAAATTCCTGGTGTGTGTGTGTGTGTGTAGATGTGTGGGGTAATAAGCAGGACTCTCAGGGTGCCTACCTAATAGACAGGAGTCCAGGCTACTTTGAACCCATCCTCAACTACCTGAGACACGGACAACTCATCATCAATGACGGCATCAACCCACTGGGTATGCCACATACACACAACGTACACACCGGACTTACACACACACACACACACACAAATAGCTACTTCATCTCTTTCTCTGTCTCAGGAGTCCTGGAGGAGGCTCGGTTCTTCGGCATTGAGCAGCTGGCTGAGCAATTGGAGACCCTGATCAAGGTTTGTGTGTGTGTGAATACCGTAAGTGTGCATGAGGCCTGTCTATCCTAACTAAACCATATTTTCTCCTACCCAGAGTTCCCAGCCCGCTGATGACCACTCCCCTCTAACCAGGAAGGAGTTTGTGCGTTTCCTGTTGGCCACACCCACCAAGTCAGAGCTGCGCTGTCAGGTAGCAGACACACACACACACCAAAACGTATCTGTTTTCAGTGGCTATGATCTATCTTGTCTTACACTGTCCTCTTTGATTGCTCTCTATCACACACACAGGGTCTGAACTTCAGTGGTGCAGACCTGTCTCGTCTGGACCTGCGCTACATCAACTTTAAGATGGCCAACCTGAGAGCTGCCAACCTCACTCACGCCAACCTCAGTGGTGCCAACCTGGAGCGGGCAGACCTGTCCTCAGCTTGCCTCGACGTGAGTGTAAATGCATAGTGTTACTATGTGCGTGTGTGTTTTAGGGGGCTAACCTACAGGGTGTTAAGATGCTGTGTTCTAATGCGGAGGTATGTGTGTGTTTTAGGGGGCTAACCTACAGGGTGTTAAGATGCTGTGTTCTAATGCGGAGGTATGTGTGTGTTTTAGGGAGCTAACCTACAGGGTGTTAAGATGCTGTGTTCTAATGCGGAGGTATGGTTTTGTTTAGGGAGCTAACCTACAGGGTGTTAAGATGCTGTGTTCTAATGCGGAGGTATGTGTGTGTTTTAGGGGCAACCTACAGGGTGTTAAGATGCTGTGTTCTAAGCGGAGGTATGTGTGTGTTTTAGGAGCTAACCTACGGGTGTTAAGATGCTGTGTTCTAATGTGGAGGTTATGTGTGTGTTTTAGGAGCTAACCTACAGGGTGTTAAGATGCTGGTTCTAATGTGGAGGTATGTGTGTTTTAGGGGCAACCTACAGGTGTTAAGATGCTGTGTTCAATGTGGAGGTAGTGTGTGTTTAGGGAGCTAACTCAGGGTGTTAAGATGCTGTGTTCTAATGCGGAGGTATGGTGTGTTTTAGGGAGCTAACCTACAGGTGTTAAGATGCTGTGTTCTAATGCGGAGGTATGTGTGTGTTTTAGGGAGCTAACCTACAGGGTGTTAAGATGCTGTGTTCTAATGCGGAGGTATGTGTGTGTTTTAGGGGGCTAACCTACAGGGTGTTAAGATGCTGTGTTCTAAGCGGAGGTATGTGGTGTTTTAGGAGCTAACCTACAGGTGTAAGATGCTGTGTTCTAATGCGGAGGTATGTGTGTGTTTAGGGGCTAACCTACAGGGTGTTAGATGCTGTGTTCTAATGCGAGGTATGTGTGTGTTTTAGGAGCTAACCTACAGGGTGTTAAGATGCTGTGTTCTAATGCGGAAGTATGTGTGTGTTTAGGGGCTAACCTACAGGGTGTTAAGATGCTGTGTTCTAATGCGGAGGTATGTGTGTGTTTTAGGGAGCTAACCCTACAGGGTTAAGATGCTTGTTCTAATGCGGAGGTATGTGTGTGTTTTAGGGGGCTAACCTACAGGGTGTTAAGATGCTGTGTCTAATGCGGAGTATGTGTGTGTTTTAGGGAGCTAACCTACAGGGTGTTAAGATGCTGTGTTCTAATGCGGAGGGAGCGTCTCTGAGAGGGTGTAACTTTGAGGACCCTGCTGGAGTCAAAGCCAACATGGAGGGTAACACACACACACACAATTATTTTGGCCTTGACTCGAACACACACACTTGGATTGTAAGGACGAGCAAGGTTCAATACCTGTTCGGTCATCCTTGGATTTCTATTGATTTATATATTGTGTGTGTTAGGTGCCAACCTAAAGGGGGTGGACATGGAGGGTAGTCAGATGACAGGTATCAACCTGCGAGTCGCCACACTGAAGAACGCCAAGCTGAAAAACTGCAACCTGAGAGGAGCTACACTGGCTGGCACAGACCTGGAGGTAAACACACACACACACACACACTCACAACAGCTCTCAAACATTGCTCCCTCCCGCTCTCTCTCTCCCCCTCTCTCTCAGAACTGTGACCTGTCTGGATGTGATCTACAGGAAGCTAACCTTCGGGGCTCCAACGTGAAGGGAGCCATCTTTGAAGAGATGCTGACCCCACTGCACATGTCTCAGAGTGTACGATAACCCCACTGCACATGTCTCAGAGTGTACGATAACCCCACTGCACATGTCTCAGAGTGTACGATAACCCCACTGCACATGTCTCAGAGTGTACGATAACCCTACTGCACATGTCTCAGAGTGTACGATAACCCCACTGCACATGTCTCAGAGTGTACGATAACCCTACTGCACATGTCTCAGAGTGTACGATAACCCTACTGCACATGTCTCAGAGTGTACGATAACCCTACTGCACATGTCTCAGAGTGTACGATAACCCTACTGCACATGTCTCAGAGTGTACGATAACCCTACTGCACATGTCTCAGAGTGTATGATAACCCTACTGCACATGTCTCAGTGTACGATAACCCTACTGCACATATCAGAGCGTATGATAACCCTACTGCACATTTCTCAGATATCCCTACTGCACTACTCCACTGAACCCCACACACACACTCTTGGTCCCTAAGTCATTCCGCCCAACCCCCTGTGTAGCTCACCACTGATTTTGAGTTCTCAGAAGAGACTAGTTGTCCAATACTATATAAACCCTTAGTAGTCACTTAGCTACCCCACGGGCCCTAGCCAGTGTGTTGGTGTCCTGGCCTTGTCTGAGGGCAGTGGTTGTTCCTCTGACATGAGGAGCGAATGTGAAACGAGACCCAGGAATGTTTTAGATCTAGGTTCTAGTACACACGTTTGTATATATGGCGTAAAAGGTTCTACATGTTTGTAAAATGATACATGTATTTTGAAGGTAGATTCAGCATTGTACAAAGTACCCCACAGATTCGGACAGACTTCCGCAACAACAAACGGTATGAGGCGTGAGGCTAAACTTCTCCGCTGTTTTGGTCTTGCAGCAGCGTGCACATGAGTTTATCTACAATATCTGAGGTTCATGTCAAAAGTTATATGCCTGAGTCTCACTTTAATGGGTCCACCTGTACATTATCCTACATGGGCCATCTTCTCCATGCCTGGTGTTGGATTTCCATCACATGGTGCTACACTACACATTGTGAAAATGGTTGGTATTTTTGTATCTCATCATGCTATCACTGTATAATTACTGTTTTATCATGTATTTTTACAATAAAGGTTTTAGCCTGTTTTTAGTATCTAGTTGTGTTTTTATGTCAACAGCTCCTCTCTAAGTGATCCACATGCATATTTGGCACGCTTTACCTTCGGAAACTTGAGTTAAAGAGACAACATTTGGAAGGATGGCTCCGGCAGACTAGACACACATAAAGTGATGCACACGTACAAGGGTGTGTAGGGTAACTGGAATGTACTTCATTGTGAAGGTTTTGGTTTGAAACCTGCCTTTAGGGACAAACCCCAAAAAAGTTATACAGCTGTACCATTTAGAGCATCTTGACTGGCTGCATCACTGCTTGGTATGGCAATAGCACCGCCCTCATTCGCATGGCCCTACAGAGGGTGGTGCGTACAGCCCAGTACATCACTGGGGCCGAGCTTCCTGCCATCCAGGACCTCTATATCAGGCAGTGTGAAAGGAAGGCCCAGAAAGTCGTTAAAGACTCCAACCACCCGAGTCATAGTCTGTTCTCTCTGCTTCGCCAGCATGTACGGGCATCAAGTCTGCACCCAAGCTCCTACAGCTTCTATCCCCATGCCATAAGACTGCTAAATAGCTAACAAAATGGGTTGTTGACCTTTTCTATCTTATTCTTATTTTTGCACTGTCTCTATGCACACTCACAGGCCCTAACACTAGCAACTCCCTCATAATTGCTCACACACATAATATACAAAATTTTACTGACTCTACACCACCCACATCACATACAATCATATACCTGCTGCTACTCTGTTTATCATATCCTGATGCCAAGTCCCTATACCTACAGTGCTTGCGAAAGTATTCAACCCCCTTGGCATTTTTCCTATTTGTTGCCTTACACACTGGAATAAAATGGATTTTGCGGGTTGTATCCATTTGATTTACACAACATGCCTACCACTTTGAAGATGCAAAATTTTTATTGTGAAATAAACAAGAAATAAGACACAAACAAAAATTGAGGTATACATGTATTTATTCCGCTGGTGTACAGCAATCTTTAAGTCATACCACAGATTCTCAATTGGATTGAGGTCTGGGCTTTGACTAGGCCATTCCAATAAATTTCAATGTTTTTTAACCACTCAAGTGTTGCTTTAGCAGTATGCTTAGGGTCATTGTCCTGCTGGACGGTGAACCTCCATCCCAGTCTCAAATCTCTGGAAGACTGAAAAAGGTTTCCCTCAAGAATTTCCCTGTATTTAGCGCCATCCATCATTCCTTCAATTCTGACCAGTTTCCCAGTCCCTGCTGATAAAAAACACTGTGGTGATGGTGTTCTCGGGGTGATGAGAGGTGCTGGGTTTGCGCCAGACATAGCGTTTTCCTTGATGGCCCAAAAAGCTCAATTTTAGTCTCATCTGACCAGAGTCCCTTCTTCCATATGTTTGGGGAGTCTCCCACATGTCTTTTGGCGAACACCAACCGTGTTGGCTTATTTTCTTCATTAAGCAATGGCTTTTTTCTGGCCACTCTTCCGTAAAGCCCAGCTCTGTGGAGTGTACGGCTTAAAGTGGTCCTATGGACAGATACTCCAATCTCCGCTGTGGCACTTTGCAGCTCCTTCAGGGTTATCTTTGGTCTCTTTGTTGCCTCTGATAAATGCCCTCCTTGCCTGGTCCGTGAGTTTTGGTGGGCAGCCCTCTCTTGGCAGGATTGTTGTGGTGCCATATTCTTTCAATTTTTTAATAATGGATTTAATGGTGCTCTGTGGGATGTTCAAAGTTTCTGATATTTTTTTATAACCCAACCCTGATCTGTACTTCTCCACAACTTTGTCTCTGACCTGTTTGGAGAGCTCCTTGGTCTTCATGGTGCTGCTTGCTTGGTGGTGCCCCTTGCTTAGTGGTGTTGCAGACTCTGGGGCCTTTCAGAACAGGTGTATGTATACTGAGATCATGTGACTCTTAGATTGCACACAGGTGGACTTTATTTAACTAATTATGTGACTTTGAAGGTAATTGGTTGCACCAGATCTTATTTAGGGGCTTCATAGCAAAGGGGGTGAATACATATGCACGCACCACTTTTCCGTTATTTATTTTTTAGAATTTCTTGAAAAAGTAATAATTTTCATTCCACTTCACCAATTTGGACTATTTTGTGTAAGTCCATTACATGAAATCCAAATATAAATCAATTTAAATTACAGGTTGTAATGCAACAAAATAGGAAAAAAGCCAAGGGGGATGAATACTTTTGCAAGGCAATGTATCTACCTCTATTGATCCAGTATCCCTGCACATTGTAAATATGGTACTGGAATTTACCCTGTATATATTATGCTTCCTTACTTTATCATGTTCTTCTTATTTTTATATATTGTGTGTTTTTTTCTACCTTGTTATTTTTAATATTACATTGTTATTGATTTTTGCATTGTTGGGGTTAGAGCGTGCAAGAAAGGCATTTCACTGTGCATGTGACATTAAAACTTGAAATTTGAAACTTGAAAACCACAAGCTTCATCTTACTGTGGCGCTTGCTGTAATTCCCTCTGTATGCAGAAGAGGACAGTAGTCTCTCAGTATCTGTGGCCAGGACTGGTCTCTCTCTCAAAGCAGATGTCAAACACCTGCCCTTACAGAAAAGTCCTACAGCATTCCTTGAGGAATTGTTGCCGTTGTGAGATTTTTCCGCTGGGTTTTCCTTTAGCAGTTTTCCTAACTTTTTTGTAAAGATATGTAATCGATCAATCAAGGTCATTTATGAGCTTGGTCCTCACACTTGGTTTCCCAGGTCTAAATCAGATGGTTACTGATGAGGAAAGAATGAAAATGAACAGAAATACGCTCTCTAAAATTCTCAGGGTTTGTGGATGAGTGGCTTGAAAAATGATGGCGATAAACAGTCACCTGTCAATCTCATTAGTCCCTTCCTGTACCCCCTGTTCACCCACGACTGTGTGGCCTCGGTGTCCACATCACTAAGGACCTATCATGGTCCAAACACACCAACACAGTTATGAAGAGGGCACGACAGGAGGCTGAAAAGATTTGGCATGGGCCCTCAGATCCTCAAAAAGTTATACAGCTGCACCATTGAGAGCATCTTGACTGGCTGCATCACCGCCTGGTATGGCAACTGCTTGGCACCCTTGGTAAGGCGCTACAGAGGGTTGTGCGTACGACCCAGTACATCATAGGGGCTGAGTCACCCAAGTCAAAGAGTGTTCTCTCTGCTACTGTATGTCAAGCGGTATCGGAGTGCCAAGTCTGGGACCAAAAGGCTCCTGAACAGCTTCTACCCCCAAGCCATAAGACTGCTGAACAATTAATAAAATGGCTTCCCTGACTATTTGCATTGACCCCCTTTTTATTTGCACTGACTTTCTCGCACCTGCTCACTGGACTCTACCCACACACTCACATATACTACACTGGCATTCCAACACACACATACACACACACTACATTCGCTCAAACACACACACAAAGACACACTTTTGCACTATTTCACACTCTTCACATATGCTACTGCTCCTCTGTTTATTATGTATCCTGATTGCCTAGTCACTTTTACCCCTACCTACATGTACATATTACCTCAATTACCTAAACTACCTTGTAACCCTGCACATTGACTCGGTACTGGTACTCCTTATATGCTCGTTATTTTATTGTGTCAATATTTCATTTTTTTATATTTTGCCAATTTCTCTTACTTTTTAACTCAGCATTGTTGGGAAAGGGCTCGTAAATAAGCATTTCATGGTAAAGTCTACACATGGTAAAGTCTATTTGGCACATGTGCCAAATACAATTTGATTGATTTGATTTGTTTCTATAGACAAACCACAGAGCTGATTGGATGGATGTGGCTTTCACTAACGACCCATGAATAATGGGGAAGTGCGTGTGTGTTTGTTTCTGTCTGTGTGTTTGTCAGATATGATGGTTAAATGGGGTTGTGGGTGGTGGACCCGGTTTGGTGGCATGAGGCTGTGGGGGCGGGACCACAGAGGTGGCCTGTGATCAAATCAGAGGGGGCGATGGCACGGATATGCTAATCAGTGAACACAAACAAACACATCATAGGTAAAATGACTGCTCATCAAAGTGCTTGCCTCAGCAAGAACTCTCATGATGTAACTCAACTTCAATTCTTCTTATTTGTTTTCTTCCTATCTTTTAGTAGAATTGAAAATGGCTCCCACCCTTTTACACAAAGCCTGACATACCAAAACAACTAGCTATTTTTGGAGGGGCAGAGACACAAAGTATCTCTCTTCCTCTCTCTCTCTCTCTCTCTCTCTCTCTCCATCTCTCTGTGGATCATGAATGTGGGCTGTGAAACTGTTATTTTGGTGAGATTCAAATTGTCAGACCCAGTGAACTCCACAATAATAACAGAGTCTTGATACTTGGCTAGATTGTGTGTGTAAAAATGCATGGTAATGCATTGTATTTACAGTGTAGCCTTGAGTGTGGTAGAGAAGCTTTCATTCAGATGACAATCACAGGTTTTCCTGCTCTGTGTGTGGCCTTATACTTGTGCGTGTTTGTGTACGGGCTCGTGTGTATGTATGCGTGTGTGCATGTATGTGCCCCTTCCTTCCCAACCAAGCAGTACTGAGGGTCAGCGACGCCATTCACAGAGGGATAGCTGGGTAACCCCTGGTTGGTATGTATTGTGGGTACTGGCGTGGCGTGTGTGTGTGAGCGAGACAGAGAGAGGGTGTGCCTGTTGTGGTGTGGGCTGGAGTCCTCAGTTTTGGGGTTAAAGGGTGGGACGCGTTCCATTCCTAAACCCCTCAGGCCTCCTCCCCTCCGTCCTCATGGCCTTGTCTGCTTGAACACTCTCCTGCAGCATGAGCTCATGGGAGGAAAACACACACACTTATGGTGCTGGCAAGCATGTGCAAGGTCTTGATGGATCTTTGGGAACCATTTTTTTGTGATTTATTTTATTTCTAAAGCATCCTGATTTAACAGGTTCAAGAGGTATGGATGTAGTCTTGCCTCAGTCCTTCCCTCTGAGAGAGACCACAAGCTCTGGAATGTGGAGTTTACACGGCCAGGCAGTTTTATTTGGAGAACAGAGAATGTCACTTCAGTCAGCCCAGAACCCACTTCCTTTATAAATACACTCTCCTCTCTCTGCTAAGCTCAGATATAGCTTACACATAGCTTACACATTATTGCACACTCACACACACACATGCATACAAGCAACAGACTGATCTCTCTGCTACCGCATGGCAAGCGGTACCAATGCACCACGTCTGGAACCAGCAGGACCCTGAACAGCTTCTACCCCCACGCGATAAGACTTCTAAACAAGACTGCTAAATAGCTCATCAAATGGCTACCCAGACTACCTGCATTGACCCATTTTAGCTCTAACTCTCTTGCACTGACTCTATGTACACACACTGGACTACCCTTTATGTATACTTTAACTCTGCATTGTTGGAAATTGTAAACATTTCACTGTTAGTCTACACCTGTTGTCTACAAAGCATGTGACAAATTAAATGTGGCATACTGTCACTGGAGAGAGAGAGAGAGCGAGCGAGGTAGGGAGGAAAGTAGATTGTTGATTAAGAGAATATGAGGTGATAGTGGGTGTGTATCGTGATGATAGGGTTTCGACAGCTGGAGGGTCCTGTGTTTAGTTGAGCTGGGTGTATGTTTTAGTTAATGCTAGCTGATACTGTGTGTATGTTAGTAAGAGTGAAGAGGTGGCGAGGCAGAGAGGCAGAGAGGCAGGCATGGTCATCACTCATGCTCATCCCTGCCTGGGGAGCGTATCCAGGATTAATGGAGTCTTTCTCTCCCCTCTATACACAGTTGTGATCACGTGTTTCTACTGTTTTTAACAAGGCTTGTTCCAGGATGTTCCTATAGGTTTCCAGAAATGTTTAATAATTTAAATCCTGTTCTAGGATGTTATTTTCCTTATATTAGAACTGTGGTTTAGAGGGTTTGGGAGTCTCCCCCATCCTCCTTCCATTCCTTCTTCACCCTCCTCTCTTTGACTACCCCCGCCCTTCTCTCTCCATCTTCCTCTATCTCACTCTCTCAACCTCTCTTGGCAGCTATTTTGGTTCCTCGTGTCACCCTCTGTGGTCCGACGTCGTCTTGGGTAACGCCTTATAAAACAGCTTCATATAAAGCCACATTCAACACACAGACACACACACACACACACACACACACACACTCACATTTCACTGCTCTGCCAAGGTCAGCCTGACCATACAGGGCTGAACCAGAAGACAGAACTCACACACACACACACAGCTAGGCTGGCCTGGTTAAAGTGTTTAATTAGCAGTAGTGGTCATGACGTGTTGTCCTTGTGTGCTTGTGCATATGCTTGTGCGTAATATGTGTATGAGGGGTGTCTGTGTGTGTGTCTGGGTTACAGTGACATCTGAGGTCAGTGGCATGGTAAAGGCTGAGATCACAGAGGCTGGAGTCATGGGTCTCACAGTCTACTGTGGTGTGAGAGGGCTGTTGTGCCCTGACAAGGCTGGGGAGAGGGCTATGTCTGGATGATAGGGCTGAGTCTGGGGCTTGGGCTGGGGAGAGGGCTATGTCTGGGTGATAGGGCTGTCTGGGGCTGGGGAGAGGGCTCTGTCTGGGTGATAGGGCTGAGTCTGGGGCTGGGGGGGAGAGGGCTATGTCTGGGTGATAGGGCTGGGTCTGTTTGTGTGGTTTTGGCCTTTAACTCAGATGGGATGTCTTTGTGTTTCTGTATTTAGTTGTCCTCTCTCTGTTCCCTTGTTCTGTGGCTACAGCTGGTATCCTCTCTAACTGTCTTCTATGTGTGTGTTTAGAACATATCTTCTTATTTCCTCTCCTGTGGTCAGCTGGACTGGACTGGACTGAGCCTGCTACAACTGGTAACATCTGGTGTGCGTGCGTGCATGCATGTGTATGTGCATGCGTATGCTTGTGTCTGGGGCAGCTCTATGGGCACCTTATAATGATAGTAGATGTGTGTTTGGGGCTCCGCAATTCTGAGGCAATCAGAACTGTATTCTCTAGAGGGTAAACACACACAATGATAGAGTTTCCTTAAAACGGCAATCAGCAGTTGAAACAATAACAAAGCGTATCCCCACCCCTGTTTCAGTAAAAAGTAAGAACTCTCAAATTCATAAACAGAGCTATGGATGCAAGGACTGACCATCAATGATATCAAAAGTATAATTTTAACCATGTTTTGAGGCTATATAGCGTTTGTAAAAAACTTAGTAAAACAAGCTTATATTTGGGATTCTGATGGGGTACGACAGTTGAACTAAGAACACGAGGCATTTGAAGTTATATTCTTCAAGAATCAATGGTTACATATCAGTGGAGGCTGGTGGTAGGAGTTATAGGAGGATGGGCTCATTACAATGAGCCCGTCCTTCAATAGCTTCTCCCACCAGCTTCCTCTGGTACATATCATTAATTAAAAGTAAAAAAAATGATGTAGCAACTGCTGACTGCCCCTTTAATGGTGTGTAAAGCTGATTGTCTGGGGCTAGACACAGGGCTGGCTGGGTCGGAACTAGAAACAATTGTTTGCTTTTTTCCATTCTCCTGTCCCACTCCTCTTCTCCTCTCCTCTCCTCTCCTCTCCTCTCCTCTCCTCTCCTCTCCTCCCTCTCCTCTCCTCTCCTCATTTCCCCCTCCTCATCTCATCTCTCCTCATCTCCCCTCTCCTCATATCCCCCTCCTCTCCTCTCCTCATCTCTCCTCATCTCCCCCTCCTCATCTCATCTCTCCTCATCTCCCCTCTCCTCATCTCCCCCTCCTCTCCTCATCTCCCCCTCCTCCTCTCCCCCTCCTCTCGTCCTCTCCCCCTCCTCATCTACCCTTCTCCTCTCCTCTGCTCTACTCGCCAATGTGGCGTCAGCAGCAACCATCTCCAGATGTGCCCCCCCTCACACACACACACACACACCTTCTGCACATGTGATGTGGTCTGGGCACCATGCTCCCAGCTTACCCTGCCTATCCCCTACCCCACCCTACACAGAAACACACACACCCGTACGCACTTGCTTGTGTGCACACAGCCACCAGAGGAGAAGAGAAGCTCTTGGTTTATGAGGTGTTTTTAAGAAAAGCCAGTTTAAGACTCCCATAGGGTGGACCAGGCTGTTTTTTATTATAATTTTAATCTCAATATCAAATAATTTCTTTGTAACAAATAAGAACCTTACTGAGATGGTTTTCCATTAAAATGGTCTTCTCAAGCAAGAATTTTGCTAGGACTATCTGGGAGTGTTCTAAGTTGGGAGGGAAAAAACACAAAGCTAGCTGTTATTGGCAGAGAGGTTAAGAACTGTCTTTCTTATTGGTCTATTAAAGGTGCAATATGCAGAAATCGTTTCGCCATTTTCTGGTTGCTGAAATTCTAATAGTTTGCCTAATTTCAGTTTATGTGACAAAACAAGCAATGTATAGTCAGATAATCATTGTACTATCTAAACCACTGTGAGATATATTTTCAATAACCAAAAATATTGTATTTTCAGCTGTTTGAAGATGGTGTACAAAACTTAAATGAAAAAGCAAAAACTAAACTTAAGAATGGGAAGCATAGAAATAGTGCACATAGAATAGATATACCACTTCTAAGACTTTCTTTCAATGAGCATGACAGATCAATAAATCACATTTCTATGTTGCCCAAAAAGTTACATATTGCAGCTGTAGTTAATTTACCAGGCAGGCCAAAACTCCATCCCACCAAAACAGGTGTTTTTTTCAAATAGCTCTTACACTAAAAGGGCATTATCATAATTTTCACAATTTCACAGTACTATTCCAACCTCATAGTGTGGAAATATATATAAATCACAGGAAAATCACGTTTTTACTGCACCGACTGCACTTATTTATGGACTTTTTTGTTGCCTTTTATGAAGCATTTTTATACAGCCCAAATTCCTTTTGAGGCTGTAATGCAGCATTTAGCTAACCTGTCGTCAGTGGAGTTTGCACACCATCGGACAGACTGATAGACAGTCAGATATATGAGTTACCCGATAAATAAATGTTATTGGGTTATTTTCCACTTTTGGATCTCTAATGCATGCTGGGAAAGTAGTTGACCTTTGGCCATTATTGACAATACCAGGAAGTACAGCTTGTAACACCCTTCACAGTTCATCCATCACAGCCAATAGCATTACTGCTTCTTATAAAACAGCCATTCCTACAGTAGTCTAGCCAGCCTTCAGTATCCCATACCAAGGTTTCCTGGACAAGTAGACAGATTTCACACAACATCAGACAATGGACGCAGACAGAACATAAAAGTGTTTGTGTGTGTGTTTCTCTCTCTGCATCACCTTCCTCTGATTTTAATCAAATGTTCACTCAGACCAGGCCCAGTTACATCACTGCCCAGCCAGTCACACACACACACACACACACACACACACACACACACACACACACTTGCACACACAGCAGGGCTCTCCATCCAAGATATGAAAGCCATTTCCCTCTGCTAGAATTTTAGTTCAAAGGACAGTGGACACAAATGCTGTGTAGCCTATTATTTAATGTCTTATGAGAATGTTGCCAAAACACAAATAAACAGGCTGTCTATTTCCAAATGATGCAGTGTTTAGATCAGTCAAGTCAGTAGCCAACTTGTTGTTTTATTTGGGACAGACCTACAAGTCTAAAGTGTAGGCTAAATCATTTTGAGTTCCTGCAAGTGAGAGGGAGAGGGGAGTGGGAAGGGAGAGGGGAGTGTGAAGGGAGAGGAGAGGGGAGTGGGAAGGGAGAGGGGAGTAGGAAGAGAGAGGAGAGGGGAGTGGGAAGGGTGACGAAAGGGGAGAAGGGGGAGGACTCCTTCAGATTATCTCAGCACACGGTGAGAAGTGGTTGGGGGAGGCAAGGGAGTTGGAATTCGATGCTCGGAAATACATTCAATGACCTATAATGTTGCCAGACAATTAGTCTCGCAAATAGATCTATGCGTTTTTTCCCGACAGTTGCAAGACAATACAGAAGATGATCGGAGTTTCCCCCATGTTTTCTCCAAGAACAGGAACGCATTGAGTAAAGTAAAATGCCTCGAGATTTGCTGCTGCTAGAGATCACTTTACTGAAACGGGTCGAAAACTTTACCAAATCGGCTACATGTTGAGGTATTCGTGCTGAAAGTGTTTTATACCCCTTCTCTCGGAAGCTAGAGAGAGACCGCTCCATTGCTACTCCGAAATCAATGGCCATTGCTCGAGGCTTCACCGCGCCACTGAATTTGAACTCTGGAAAAACACCGCATTGTTTACGGGAGTTGTGACTTTAAGGTTTAAAAGACATCGACGGAATCGGACATTTAATTACATTATTTTAGACTCCTAACCTACCTTCTCGAGGTTAGCTGCACAAGGATCAGAAACTCAGGTGAGACTAAATTCAATGCGACCAATAGCCTAGATATCCACACAGTCACGTATACAATGTTGCAGCTTGTTTGGCCAATGTGATCTGTAAACATCTGAGAAAACAATGCTACTTTTAAATAAAGTAGGTATAGACCGATCTGGTCATGCATGATCATATTGGAATTATCCTACATAGGCTATAAGAAGATTATGCAATTTAGGAGCCCCTGCCAGTGGTAGCCCATATTGAAATAGCTGCAGTAACAAAGTAAAGAAAAATAATATTTTCTCCTTATTTAGATACGTTATAAAAATGAATGAAGCCTTCGTAAACTATAACTATGCTTCACAAATTATTTGTAACCATGTCATCAATGCCACCCTTTATAATGCCTTATAAAGGGCTTATGAAGGCTTCATTAATAATTTATAAGATATACACAAAGGTGACCACATAATTAACAAACCTTAGTGTAGAGTCCAGCTAGTAAGACTTTACCCATGTCTCTCTGACTGAGGAACACACGGTAAAGCAGTCAGTCTGTTGAGTCACATGTCACTGCAAATGTGGGCAGACTGGGCACACCGACCGCCGTGGGTGTACATGTATCGGTTTAATCGGTTTACGGTAAATGACGCTTGTGTGTGTGACAATCCACCTCTGAGACCCGGCTGTTCATTCAACAGCACGTGCCTTATCTGCTGTTTGTTGACTCATCACCGCGCTACGGATTGACGGGTGTGTCAAGCACGGAACAAACTGTCACCGGTTCTTTAATAGAATGTGAATATAATTAGTACTATTGCCACATGATCCGTGGGCCATGCATGACATTGAAGGAGTTATTGGGCCGGTTTCCTGGACCGAGATTAAACCTAGTGCTCAACTAAAAAACACTTTCAATCGAGATTCTCCTTTGAGTATGGTTTTTAGTCTAGGACTAGGCTTAATCTCTGTCCGGAAATGGCTCATTATGTTCAGACAACGATTTAGGATGTTTATGTCTGCACACACAGGAACACACAATGATGATAGTAATATAATGAAGTGCTGTGAGAGTTCAGTTTCAAGTGGATTTGTGTAATTAATACATTGGAAATCTAAATCTTACTCACCAGGGCAACAGTGAGAGATACTGAATGTGTGTGAGAACTCCTGACTCACTCTGCCATTTGTGAATGGAGGGAATGTGTGATGGCTGCTGTTCTGTATCAGATTCCACATTCTGGGAGGAGAAACAGATGAGTGGAGAGTGAGAAAATAGAACAGATAGAGACAGAGAGGGATAAAGAGATGAGTGGGAGGTAGATAGAGGTGTATGGTAAGGCACTGAGCTGTTATCCAGGCCTGTAGAAGACTCCAGGGTCACTGACAGGGACTGTGTGTGTGTGAGTGAGTTAGGGGGAGCAAAGTCTTAGAGCAGACCTGTGTGCTTTCTGTTCTACTCTCAACCTGTCCTCTTGTCTCCAGACATTCAGCCACTGTATGTAGCAGTACTTCAGCTGCGTTGTATAGTTGCACAATCACTTGCTTCATGGATGCTTCATGGTAGCATATGCTCAGCCATGGCTCCCCTTGACACGAAGGCACACACCATCAGCTGATTTCCAGTTTATGGGAAAATGGTGTGTTACTATGACAGCGTGGGGGGAAACATTTGGGAAAGAAAGGGGGTGAATGGGGAGGAAGGCATGAGGGAGAGAGATGGAGTAGGGAGATGTTTCTGGTAGGTAGAGGCCCTCTCCTCAATAGAGAGCTGGTGTGATGCTCTATTCCCGACCTAGCGACTATATGTCACCCTGTGTGTGTGTAGTTACTGTCTCTCCGACCATCAGTTTTGAATCATATCAATCCCCCTGAGTCATTCTAAGTCATCAATCCCCCTCCTCTAAACTATACACAGTACCAACAAGCTGACCCAGTGGCCTCTAGTTTAAAACCAGCAGTATCTGCAAAATAACAGCACAGAAAATAACTAGCACTGGACTTGAAGCTATTTTTGAAGGTTTTACTTGCAATGATCATCATTTGTGTTGGTTTCCTACCCTACTCTAGTTCAAAGCAACTCCCTTTGTATAAGACTGTCTGTTAAATTGCTGAAATGTATGTCGAAGTTACTGTTATCTGCTGTTTCCTCTCACTGAAGTTCCTTTAGAATTTAAAGAAGCCACACAGCAAGGCTAGAGCAGGGAGAAAGCGTTTTTTTTGTTCTAATTGTGTCTGTGGTGATTATGTGGTGATGTGATAACTACCACAGTGAGGTTTACAGAGCTGGGTGTGTTAGCTGTTAGCTAGCAGTGAGCTTCAATGGCAGGGGTGTCCAACTCTCCTTCTGAAGAGCTATGGCAGACGTATACAGGTTTTTGCTCATACCCTGCTCTAACATATGATTCAGCCAATTGGGGCCTGATGAGCAGCTGATGAGTAGAATTGGGGGGAGTTTTGTAGAGCTGGAGCAAAAGCCTGCATACTCAGAATGTCTCTCTTACTCCCTCCCTCATTCTCTCTCTCGCCTATGTAATAAGATGACTGTGTCTGCCTAGCTGTCTCTGTGCTGGGCTCTGCTGTCAGCTAGCCAGCAGTACGATGGAGACTCTCCACCATAAAACTCATAAATCTGCAAACAGACTCATCAATTTAAGAGACTCTTTAACGTTAGTGTGGGGTTGAGTTACGGGCGGTGTCCTTGAGGGTAAATTCTGTGTGTGTGTGTGTGGTGTAAATCAAGGGCATTAATGATATCTTCATAAACCTGCCGCTCTACTCTTTACTGTTACACACCTCCCTCTCTGGGTCATCACACACACACTGGCTGCCAGTTCTGAAGGACAGAGCTCATTAAGGAATGGGACCCTCAGTAATGTCCACACACACCTTCCCTAGCTGCCAGCTACAGTAGTGTCCAAGTTTCAGTCATGTCAATGTACCATCAGGCTGTTCAACATGTTTATGACTCTACAACTGTATATAATGAGAAGGGAGATGATGTATTATAGAATATATTTACAGCTCTCCTTGTTTTTAGTCTCTCTACGTCAGTGTGTGTTTGTGGTCTGGAGTGGTCTCATAACACCTAAACACCAGATCCATCTTCTCAATGAGACTTTAACACTGTGGCACTGACAGGCAGACTGGGGGTAAATGGTGTTTGGTCTGGGGGTGCGGGTTAAGGCGTCCGCAATCTCTGCATGCTTCCCATCCAAAACAGTTCGGAACAGTTTGTGCATATATTCTGATGATGCTTTTTGTTCGTTTTGGTCTTCGGTAAGTTTTTTTTTCGGCTGTTCGTGCACACGAAATAATTTCTCGAGACAAGCCTAAGTCTGTAGCCGAAGTCTACGCCCCTTTGTCGGTGATTGGTCAACAGTAGGGATTCTTCAATGACGTGTTTGTCATTCAACCAGAGACGAATCGTTTTCATGCAACAAAAAAAATCACTTGAGAAATACTGCATCAAACATCTTAGTTAGATGTAAAAATGCGCAACTAAGATCTCCTCTGCAAGCAAGTGAAAATTAATGACAGATTTCTTGAGTTACCTTAGATGAATTCTGACTATTTTGAGGAAGCGTATACATGCTACGGCTGCTCAAGATGGACAAACAATACTATTACAGCTTTTTTCTCATTTTTCAAGCGAAGGTCTTTTAAGGGAGAATGCGAGCACACTCATTCGGTTCGCCTAGCCGAGTTCGGCTAGGTGCCTGCCAAACCAAAGCATGCTGATGCCTTTAGGGGGAGGCATAGCAAAACTGTGATATAACAGAGTTTTGAAACGTTTGATGGGCAATAATGTGTGACAGTTGAGCTGACGGGACAAGTGTCGAAAGTGTGTGTGACAGGTGTGCCTCTCTCACCTTCCCTCAAGGACAGATGCTAAAGTGTGAGGAGTGTAGGAAGCGGAGTTCTCATCTGAGATCTGTGAAAAGAGACACCAGAGCATGTGTCACAGCCTCTACCCATGTCCTCCTGACAGCATGGGCTGACCGGTTTAGAGCCTGACCGGTATGTTTTTTTGGGTCCGATTCAGATTTTTGGGGGGACAAAACGTACCGATACCGATATCATTTTTCCACACTGAGTTCTCATACATTTCCATCCAAAAGAGCAATTGCCCAATAACTGTGCTTTAAATGTTGTTTCATTCATCGTGACAATAATGACATCATGAGAATGTCCGCAAGTGTTCAGATAAGCATGAGATTCCCTTTTTTCATCCTATTTATTGAATATCGGTTATCGGCCAATAATATTGGTGAACTGATCTATCGGTCGGGCTCTAGATGGTGTAGCGGTGTCACAGCCTTTTCTCGCCATTTATTTTCATAAAATGCCTTGTCTTTAACATACCCATTAATGTCCCTCTCTCCCTCTCTTATTTCCTCTTACAGTTCCCCACCTGAAGAGTTGATGGTTGTGGGTTGATACATTTAAGCACCCTCTACATCCAGCCCTGTACCAGTAGCCCCTGCCATTCCAGTACTGTACCAGTTAACCTATACCAGTGCCAGTATGTTGTTGTCCCACTGGTTTCTGCTTCTCCTCTGGTCACTGCTGGTTCTACTGATTCACTCCCCCCTGACCCAGTCCAGACCAGCTGCTGCCCTCGCTGACACTGACAGTATCAGTGACACAGGTAAGAGACATGGGCCGCATAAAGATATTACATTCTCTCTCTTGCTTGCTTGCGCTCTCTCGGTTGTAGTTAACAGGCAGGGCTGTGTCTCATTAGCCTTATGTCTGTGTGTGTGTGCTTGTGTATGCTCACTTGTGAGCCTTCTTTTCCTCTTTGTTGTTTAATCTCTTTCATGTCAGGCAGGGGGTTCTAGGTTCAGGCTGAGGGTTCTAGGTTCAGGCTGGGGGGTTATAGGTTCAGGCTGGGGGTTCTAGGTTCAGGCTGGGGGTTCTAGGTTCAGGCGGAGGGTTCTAGGTTCAGGCTGGGGGTTCTAGGTTCAGGCTGGGGGTTCTAGGTTCAGGCTGGGGATTCTAGGTTCAGGCTGGAGGTTCTAGGTTCAGGCTGGGGGTTATAGGTTCAGGCTGAGGGTTCTAGGTTCAGGCTGGGGGTTCTAGGTTCAGGCTGAGGGTTCTAGGTTCAGGCTGGGGGTTCTAGGTTCAGGCTGAGGGTTCAGGCTGGAAGTTCTGGGTTCAGGTTGAATGTTCTGGGTTCAGGCTGAGGGTTCTGGGTTTAGACTGAGGTTTCTGGGTTCAGGCTGCTACCATGGTGGTTCAATCCCACTGACTGTGTTCTGCTATCTGGAACTGTTCCGTTAGTAGTGGGTCTCTATTCTGAGCTAGAGAACAGAACATACACTTCAATTTATGGGTGTCTGCATGTGTGTTTGGGGTGGGGGGGGGGGGGGGGGGGATTCTATATTGAGCTTGAAAGTAACTCAATCTTCAAGGTTTGTCCATTTAGTTTAAAGCTGAGGATGTTTACAGTAATTTTTCATGGTGCTATGGTTTACATATCCTGTCCACACACACACACACACAACTGGTTGGATGTGGAACAGAAATTCTGTTTTTGGTAGGAAAGGATGAATGCCGTCTGAAAGGAGCTGCTTTTATTTGTGTTGGCGAATCCTGTAACCACAACCATCCTGACCAGCCCTAACACCCTGTGTTGTGTGCATGCGTGTGTTTGTATGCTCATGCATCTGTGTGTATCTGTTTGTGTGTGTGTGCTCGCACGTTTGTGTGTGTTTTGCTTCCAACCATCTGGTATCCAGCTGAGAGTGTGTGTGTGTGTGGATGTGATACTGTTGTTTTGGAACACATACATTCTTGTTTTTCTCTCTTAGTCAAAAATGTAACTTTTGTGCAGCAAACTCTTTTCCATAAACAAAGCCTGCTTCCAATTTCCCATCTCCTTCTCGCTGCTTCATTCAAATAAATGTTTAGGTTTTGGGATTTCAACTAACTCCCCCTGCTTTTCTTTCTTTTAGTGGATTCCTTTCTTTTTTTCAGTTCTTTTTTCACTTTTCTTTGTCTTTATCCTCTCTCTCTCTCTCTCTCTCTCTCTCTCTCTCTCTCTCTCTCTCTCTCTCTCTCTCTGTCTATTTCTGACAACCTCTCATTAGTAATTTTCCCCCTGCTATGAGCAGGCAGTATTCAGGACCTCCCAAAATGCAGTTTTTGTAGACCTCTCCCTGTAGATGACAGACATGCTGCATTCAAGACCTCCCATAATGCAGTCTCTGTAGACCTCTCCCTGTAGATTACAGACATAATGTAGTGAGTTTGGGGGCTGGGATTCGGGGATAGTCTGTGGTGATGCTGATTATGGACCTAATCTCTGTAGATTATAGGAGATATGATGACTGTTTTTCTGGTCTAGGTCCTGCTGAGAGGTGGGGAGGTACGGAATCTGTGGCAGAAATGTCCTGAGTTAGTAATATATTAGTAATATATTGCATAGTAATCAGTATTCCTGCTGAGAGGTGGGAGGTACGGAATCTGTGGCAGAAATGTCCTGAGTTAGTAATATATTAGTAATATATTGCATAGTAATCAGTATTCCTGCTGAGAGGGGAAAAGGGATGTGTGGTAGAAAATGTCCCTGCTTATAGTAATCACTGATCTGACGTGGCCGGATCTGTGAATGCTGTGGAATGGAACCTGATCCGACTGTGTCTAATGGTAGAAGGAAGTAGGCTTTTTCTCATTCAACGTATTCAAACAGGACCCATTAAAGCTCTGAAACCTGCTGCTTTTCCCTCCTCTTCCCCAACTCACCCCTCCTCCCCCAACTCACCCCTCCTCACCCTCACATCCCTCCTCACCCTTTGTTCACAACCATTTGTCAGGATGAAGGTGCTGATGATTAGTGTGTTTGTTTATCTCTGAGCTGGGGGTTAGGGAGCTACAGGGGAACTGTGTGTGTGTGTGTGTGTGTGTGTGTGTGTGTGTGTGTGTGTGTGTGTGTGTGTGTGTGTCACCTTAAAGGGGTAAAAAGGTGAAAGGTTAATCTTTAAGCCGTTTCCCTTTTCACTCAGCGGGAGCATCCCAGACCCCCACAGAGTAACCCCGCCTCAGCCCTTCCTGTTTAAACACACACACACACACACTGGTTTCTAACTCTGGTTTACATTTTCTTCTCTCTCCATAGCTGACATGCTGGCATCGTCTGAGGATGAAGAGGATGATGAGTCTTCTTCAGAGGAAAATAAACTATCCAACAATCAGAAGCTCCAATGTAAGCTCCTTCTCCTGTCCTCTTTCCCCCGCCACTCTCCTTTCTCTCCCCTTCACTTCCTCTAGCTTAATTGGTATGAAAAAGTAGTCACTAGCCAAACCAACTTAAGAAAGATTGATATTGAATATTTTTTTTTTTAAATATAAGTATCTCTCCCTCACTCTCTAGTGATGGCTCCTCAGTGGGCGACTCCAGACAAGATGGAGAAGAGGCTCCATGCCGTTCCTGCCAGTAAGACTGTTAAATTCCGTTGCCAGGCGACTGGTAATCCCACACCAACTTTGCGGTGGTACAGGAATGGGAAAGAGTTCAGGAAAGACCAGCGCATTGGAGGCTTCAAGGTATGTGTTTTTGTACAGCCCTCTGCTACATACTGTGTTGCCTGTTTAGTTGTGTATCATCTGTTAATGGCCCAGTGCAGTCAAAAACGTGTACAAAACATTACGGACACCTGCTCTTTCCATGACATAGACTGACTAGGTGAATCCAGGTGAAAGCTATGATCCCTTATTGATGTCACTTGTTAAATCCACTTCAATCAGTGTAGATGAAGGGGAGGAGACAGGTTAAAGAAGGATTTTAAGGAAGGTGTTCGTAATGTTTTGTACACTCAGTGTATACATTTCCACACTGAGGTTGGAATAATACTGTGAAATTGTGAAAGTTATATGAATGTCCTTTTAGTGGAAGAGCTGTGTGAAAAGAACGCCTGAAATTTCAGCCTGTTTTGGTGGGATGGAGTTTTGGCCTGCCTGGTGACATCACCATGCGATAAATTAGTTAATAGATCAATAAGACAGAGAGTTCCAAACCTCCCTGCCAATAACAGCTAGTTTTCATTGTTTCCCTACCCACTCAGACCAATCCCAGACAGTCCTAGCAAAATTCTTGCTTCAGAAATTACTCTTGCTAAGAAGCAATTTTTGTTTCTTTTTGATTAAAAAAAACAAAAAAACAATCACACTAAGGTACGTAATTGTTACCCAACATTTTTTATTTGATATTGAGATAGAAATGGCTGCATTGAGCCTGTAAGTCAGCAGGTAAGTAGTATACCTTAAAAGCAAATATTACAGTACCAAGGGGTACCATGTAAAAAGGTAACAGCAGGGGTCCAAGCACTGAGCCTTGGAGAACACCAAATTGTACTTATTTCTACTTTAAATTACAAACACCACACAAAATGTGTATTTTTCATGGCTATTCTCACGTTTTCACTCCTTTGCCTCTTTCTCTCACTCTCTTCGTCTCTCGCTCTCTCCCTCTTGCAGCTCCGGGACCACATGTGGACTATAATAATGGAGTCAGTTGTTCCGTCTGATAAAGGCAACTACACCTGTCTTGTGGAGAACAAGCACGGCAGCCTCACACACACCTACCAGCTGGACGTAGTGGGTCAGTATGTGTGCATATATAAATATATGTTTACTCTTGATGTATGTACAGTGGGGGGAAAAAGTATTTAGTCAGCCACCAATTGTGCAAGTTCTCCCTCTTAAAAAGATGAGAGAGGCCTGTAATTTTCATCATAGGTACACGTCAACTATGACAGACAAAATTAGAAAGAAAATCCAGAAAATCACATTGTAGGATTTTTAATGAATTTATTTGCAAATTATGGTGGAAAATAAGTATTTGGTCAATAACAAAAGTTTCTCAATACTTTGTTATATACCCTTTGTTGGCAATGACACAGGTCAAACGTTTTCTGTAAGTCTTCACAAGGTTTTCACACACTGTTGCTGGTATTTTGGCCCATTCCTCCATGCAGATCTCCAAAGATTTTCTATGGGGTTGAGATCTGGAGACTGGCTAGGCCACTCCAAGACCTTGAAATGATTCTTACGAAGCCACTCCTTCGTTGCCCGGGCGGCGTGTTTGGGATCATTGTCATGCTGAAAGACCCAGCCACGTTTCATCTTCAATGCCCTTGCTGATGGAAGGAGGTTTTCACTCAAAATCTCACGATACATGGCCCCATACATTCTTTCCTTTACACGGATCAGTCGTCCTGGTCCCTTTGGAGAAAAACAGCCCCAAAGCATGATGTTTCCACCCCCATGCTTCACAGAATGTATGGTGTTCTTTGGATGCAACTCAGCATTCTTTGTCCTCCAAACATGACGAGTTGAGTTTTTACCAAAAAGTTCTATTTTGGTTTCATCTGACCATATGACATTCTCCCAATCCTCTTCTGGATCATCCAAATGCACTCTAGCAAACTTCAGACGGGCCTGGACATGTACTGGCTTAAGCAGGGGGACACGTCTGGCACTGCAGGATTTGAGTCCCTGGCGGCGTAGTGTGTTACTGATGGTAGGCTTTGTTACTTTGGTCCCAGCTCTCTGCAGGTCATTCACTAGGTCCCCCCGTGTGGTTCTGGGATTTTTGCTCACCGTTCTTGTGATCATTTTGACCCCACGGGGTGAGATCTTGCGTGGAGCCCCAGATCGAGGGAGATTATCAGTGGTCTTGTATGTCTTTCATTTCCTAATAATTGCTCCCACAGTTGATTTCTTCAAACCAAGCTGCTTACCTATTGCAGATTCAGTCTTCCCAGCCTGGTGCAGGTCTACAATTTTGTTTCTGGTGTCCTTTGACAGCTCTTTGGTCTTGGCCATAGTGGAGTTTGGAGTGTGACTGTTTGAGGTTGTGGACAGGTGTCTTTTATACTGATAACAAGTTCAAACAGGTGCCATTAATACAGGTAACGAGTGGAGGACAGAGGAGCCTCTTAAAGAAGAAGTTACAGGTCTGTGAGAGCCAGAAATCTTGCTTGTTTGTAGGTGACCAAATACTTATTTTCCACCATAATTTGCAAATAAATTCATAAAAAATCCTACAACGTGATTTTCTGGATTTTTTTTCTCAATTTGTCTATCATAGTTGACGTGTACCTATGATGAAAATTACAGGCCTCTCTCATCTTTTTAAGAGGGAGAACTTGCACAATTGGTGGCTGACTAAATACTTTTTTTCCCCACTGTACATAGTGGTGTGGGTGTGTATATGCAGTATATGAGTGTTTTTGTATCACTCACGTTGCATTTATGTTTTCTGTGTATTCTAGAACGTTCCCCTCACAGGCCCATCCTCCAGGCAGGCCTGCCAGCTAATCGTACGGCGGTGGTTGGTAGCGACGTGGAGTTTGTCTGTCGAGTTTTCAGCGACCCTCAGCCCCACATCCAGTGGCTCAAACGCATCACTATTAATGGCAGCAGAGTGGGACCAGATGGACTGCCTTACGTACGCATACTGAAGGTACACACACACACATCTACATACACATTCTGAAGGTTAACACACACTGTATTCACAAGGGCTATCTCACAAACATCTCTCTCTTTCTCTCTCTCTCTCAGACTGCAGGGTTTAACACCACGGACATAGAGATGGAGGTGTTTACTCTGAGGAACGTGTCTGTGGAGGATGAAGGAGAGTACACCTGTCTGGCAGGAAACTCTATAGGACTGTCTCACCACTCTGCCTGGCTCAGTGTGATCAAAGGTACACACACAAAAATAAACTATTCTAAACTTTATTCACCTTGTGTACAAACCTTTGCAGCCCAATGTGCTTTATACATTTGCACTTAAAATGGAAGAAGAAAACGGATCAAATGTTTAAAAAGTAAATACAATAAAAGTTCCCTCTCCTCCAGACCTGCCCCCCTCCCCCGTCCCATCTCAGGCCTACCTGGAGATCTTAATCTACTGCGTCGGTTTCTTCATCATTATGCTCATGGTCGCCATAGCGACCGCCTGCCGACTACGCTGCTCCCCGAAGAAGAGCGACTTCAGCAGCCAGCTGGCCGTTCACAAACTGGCCAAGAGCATTCCCCTACACAGACAGGTAACACACACATACTAGTGAACCATGATCGTGTGATGCGTAACCTTTGCCTGAGACATGAATACTTTTTTTCCTGAGCAAATCCCTAGGCTTTAGTTCAGTGGGCTAACTCTTATTACAGTATATCCTCTGTCACTGCCTCCCCCTCTCTTTCTCAAGGTGTCAGTAGACTCCTCCTCCTCTCTGCAGTCGGGGGTGTGTCTGGTTAGGCCGTACCGCCTCTCCAGTGGAGCCACACCCATCCTGACCGGCGTGTCAGTGTATGAGCTGCCCGCAGACCCGCTCTGGGAGCTGTCACGAGACAGGTACTAGAGGGCTTATATCCCTGCATAGAGAATACACAACCGATAATATCGGCATACATAACATAAGGCATGCATAACCCTACATATGGCATACATAATCTGCATAAGGTGCTCATAACTTAACCAAGGAGATTCATAACCTCCATGCACAGGACATTCATAGCCTTGCGTGTCTGTGTTCTAGGCTGTCTCTGGGGAAGCCGCTGGGTGAAGGTTGTTTTGGTCAGGTTGTGCAAGCAGAGGCTGCAGGTCTGGACAGAGAAAAACCCTCTCGTCTCACCAAGGTTGCCGTCAAGATGCTCAAAGGTACATGAAACTACTTCCTGAAATATATTACTCACATTTAAGGAGAAAATTGAAATAAACTGAAAAACAGTGTTTGTATTGGTTGATATTGATTTGATGTCACATCCTGTTTCCTGTGTAGCGGACGCCACAGAGAAGGACCTGAGTGATCTGATCTCTGAGATGGAGATGATGAAGATGATCGGGAAACACAAGAACATCATCAACCTGCTGGGAGCCTGCACACAGGATGGTAATACTGGTGCTGTGTGTATATGTGTGTGTGTGTGTGTGTGTGTGTGTGTGTGTGTGTGTGTGTGTGTGTGTGTGTGAGTGTGTGTGTGCGCATGCATGTGTCCGTGTGTGCGTGTGAGTGAAATAGCATTTTATTAGCACAAAGGAGTACAATGGCCACAGAACCAAGGGGTAAAGATAACAGCAGGGGTCCAAGTGCTGAACCTTGGGGAACACCACATTTTTTATTATAACCCTTCTCTCTCTCTCTAGGCCCTCTCTACGTGGTGGTAGAGTATGCGTCTCAGGGCAACCTGAGGGAGTACCTGCGTTGTCGGAGGCCTGTGGATCTGGAGTACTGGTCTGGGCCAACCCAGGCCCCCCTGGACAGCCTGGAGGTCAGGGAGCTGGTGTCTGCTGCCTACCAAGTGGCCAGGGGCATGGCCTATCTCGCCTCACAGAAGGTCAGAGAAGAGACCAGTGTCTGTCTTTCTGTCTGTCTCTCTCTTCTCTTCTCTGTTTCATTCTCTTCATCTGCATCTATTATTTTCTCTTACTCTACCTCTCCCTTTAGTGGACATTAGTGGAAATCAGTCAACCAATAAATGAATCAATCATGTTTTTTTTTGTAGTGTATCCACAGAGACCTAGCAGCCAGGAACGTGTTGGTGACAGAGGACAATGTGATGAAGATAGCAGACTTTGGTTTGGCCAGAGACATCCACCACATAGACTACTACAAGAAGACCACCAATGTGAGTAACATGATCACAGTGGAGCGAGTAGACGACTGAAATTCAGACAGAAAGACAGATATATAGATGGTTTAACCCAGACACTCAGCCCTCCGTGGAATGAGTTTGACACATGATTTAACCCCTTGTTTTCCTCTCAGGGTCGTCTACCAGTGAAGTGGATGGCTCCAGAGGCTCTGTTCGACCGCATCTACACACACCAGAGTGACGTGTAAGTCACACTCCTAACTCCTAATATACATTATGTGGTGTTGTGCCATGGTGTTGTGCTATCCATCCTGTTGTTATGTGTCTGTAGGTTTACTTTCAAGCCCAGCAATAACTGTCCCTGAGAAAGTGATGAAGTTCATTGTATTGAATTCTGTTGTAGGTGGTCGTTTGGGGTGTTGCTGTGGGAGATCTTTACTCTAGGAGGGTCTCCCTACCCAGGGGTTCCTGTAGAGGAGCTGTTCAAACTGCTGAAGGAGGGACATCGGATGGACAGACCAGCTGCCTGCACAGAGGAGCTGTGAGTACACACACACACACACACACACAAGTATACTGTAAGAATGTCCTGGCAAGGATAGTAACAAACACACGCTCTGTTCTAACACTGTGGTGTGTGTTCTCAGGTATATCATGATGAGAGACTGCTGGCACGCTGTTCCATCTCGCAGACCAACCTTCCAACAGCTGGTAGAGGATCTGGACCGCACACTATCACTCATGACCAACCAGGTAAACAAACACACACACACACACGCGCGCGCACACACACACACAGTGTCATTTTCGTATCATTTGAATTGTTCCCCTAAACGTGTCCTCCCTCCATCTCTCTCAACTCTCTCTAGGAGTATTTGAATCTGTCCATCCCTGAGGTCCAGTATTCTCCATTGGGTCCAGACACCAGCAGCTCCTCTGACTCTGTCTTCTCCAGGGAGACGACTCACGGAGCAGAGTACTCTCCCCTGAGCCCGTCCTGGACCTCCACCCTGGCCTACGCACACCACACACCTTCCCGAACCCCGTCTCGGACCTCCACCCTAGCCTATGATCACCACAGCCCCTCCCGAACCCCCTCCAGAACATCTACCCTGACGTACACCATCCCCACCCAGCACAGCACCACCCGCGGTCACAGCCAACGCTGATCTAAAAACATTGCCCCGCCCCATACACCTTAACCTATCCACCTCCCTTTTAATGTCCCTACCATGATCTCTGCTGTCATCTCAGCTACCACTGCCCCTACCCTCAGCCCTTCCTACCACCAGCCCCTCCTACCCCCCATCCCCTGGCTCCTACCTCCAGCCCCTCCTTGGTGACTGGGAGACCTACCAGAGGGAAGGACACTACCTGAGTGCTTTAACCCCTCATTCTCCAGTCTGCCCCAGAGCCTAGTGGTTTCATTTGACCTGCTTTTCATTTCTGGAGAGATGCTCATTCACACAGATAAAGCCAATGGAAAAGACAGACACACATAGGGTTATAACAGAGTCATAAGACATGAAATAGAGTTTGCACAAAGATGGACTCTTCTCTCCTCCTCCCCAGGACTATACTGAACTATTAAAGGGATAGGTCCCCCAAATTACAAAATGACATTTGTTTTCTTACACTGTAAGCAGTCTATGGACAAGGTATGACAGCAATCCATGCTTTGGTTTATTTTCGCTGGCACTGTTTCCACATGCTAACATTTTTGTATTGGTGGCAGAGATCGCTTTAAAGTCATGGGACCGATATTAGCATTTGTCGCCCATCATGTACAAAACATCTAAGTGACATTGTTGAGCTTCACAAGCAATTTGAGTTACTTTAGGATAATTTGGACATGATGCGCGAAAAATGAAAATATCGGTCCAATGACTTGAATGGGATTTGTGCCACAAATGCTAAAATAGTGCCAGGGAAACTAAACCAAAGCATGGATTGCTGTCATACCTTGTCCATAGACAGGGTAAGGAAACCAATGTGTCATTTTTTTATTTGGGTGAACTATCCCTTTAATGTAGGGAGACTCAACCAGGAGCAAGAGGAGGAAGAAGAGAAAGCTGCTACACATTATTAATCTTCATCGCCATATTATGAAACAAGCTGCTGCTTCGCTGATCAAACCATACAGGATATATAAAAAGGAAATTGATACCAAGGAAAGATAATGTAGTAATTTGTAAATACAGTATATTATGAATTGTGTAATATGAATACATATTTCAAGTATTTTAATTTTATACATGGTAGATTGTTTTTATCCATGTCATTGAAATGACATCTAAGAGAGGTGTGGAAATGATACTTTGTGTTAGAATCGGAGGAAAGAAGTGGATATAATGCTATGTGTTTTAATAAGCTAACATCCTACCAGCAGTGTTAGTCAGTCAGGGCTTGCCTTCAGTATGACTCTTGTCTGGACTCTATGGACACTACAGTGTTATGTTGAGGATAATGATAATGTAAATGAAAATGCCATGGTTTTAAAACAGTGGCAAATGCACTTATCTCCAATGGAAGTCTACCTGCCTTTACATAGAATGCCTTTATTAAAGGTATTCTAATAAAGAAAACGACATTACAAAACTTCAATGGAGTGTTTTTAAATGAGAAAGAAGAGAAGGAGAGAGAAGAGAGCACATGCTGAAATGATCAGCCAGCCAGCCCACCAGGACTTCAGGGGCTGAATGAAGGACAGGTGAAAGACTGTGTGATGGGAGAGAGAAACAAAGCGAGGGAGAGAGGGAGGATAGGTTCAGCTGCTGACTGCAGAGGAAGCATTCACTCCACCAGATGTGTCTGTGTGTCTGTATGATTAATGGTGGGAAGAGAGGATTGGCCAGTACGGTTGCTCTATCAATCACAGCAGCAGAGAGCAGCTTCCTGCCAGGCACACAGACACACACACATGGCTTAGGTCCAGAGTCTGGAGAGCATGTCTGTCCCTTGGAGAGGAAACTTGTTAAACTTCTGGCTGCATTCTCTCTCTCTAGTGAGATTTTAGATGGTTATGTGTCCTGTATTCTAATCCACAGCTCATAACTCTGTGTTCTAACAAAACCACTTCATACAGATCTTCTCATTATTATTACCGTTTCAGATCATAGAACTTCTCAACTCCCTCCCATTCTCTGTCTCTATTTTTATATACACACTTTCCCTGAATGGGTTGAGCTTCCCTGAACTCTCCCTGAGTGACTGTGTAAATCTAGGCTTGTCTAAACGTGTTGAATGGTGTGTTTTCTCAAGGCGTCTTGTATTCCTGGAAATGAGGGCTGTTAGCACAGCCATCTGCCCTATTGCCCTGCTGATGACCACCATAACACGCACACACTGAGAGGGCAGTAAATGATCCCCCCCCCCCCCCCCCCCCCCCCCCCCCCCCCCCCCTCTCCATAGCAAACACCCCTCTCCATTGACCGCTATCCTGGCTGTATTTGGGCTCTATTGGGGTTAACGGGGCGTGCGAGGCCATTACTGGGTGTGAGGAGACATAATGGGGCTGCAGTTTCCACCAGGGACAGATGGTTCAGAGGGGCATCAGAGTCACTGGCGTCCAGTGTGATGCTGTTATCAACACCTGTAGGAGCTAGCAGGGGATTAGTCTGGACAAGCACAGGGACATCAGCCACTTGTAAAACTGCTGAATATCTATTAAAAGTGTGGCTATCAACTGTATCAACATCTATTAGTGTTAGGGGCCTGTTTGTATTTGTGTGTGTGTATCGTGCATGTGTGAGAGAGACAGACAGACACAGAAAAAGAGAGTTACAGTTGTACTCAAGTCAGCGGCATGTATCCTACCTCATACCACTGGTTACCAGACCATTTTACACTGTGACCCATCTAAAGCCTTCCAGAATTCCCTGCTGTGACCCACCCAATAGCTACAACCGCCACAATAACGATCCAAAAGGAATGGATCTGCTGTGATCCGAAGCACCATTTTAGAAACATAACTTTTTACTATAGCCGTTTTTTTCTGAGGCAGTTGAGACAGGTAAGTATTACCACATGTATTCCTGACATGTTGAGAGGAGAGAATAGTAAGAGAGAAAAGAGAGCGAGAGAGAAAGAAGAGAGGGAGAGAAAGAAGAGAGAGAGGGAGGAAAGAAGAGAGAGAGGGAGCAAAGAAGAGAGAGAGGGAGGAAAGAAGAGAGAGAGGGAGGAAAGAGAGCAAGAGAGAAAGAAGAGAGAGAAAAATCATGTTTTCTATGTCATTACTGAACCCTTGGGGAGCCATTAGCAGTATAGATTATTCCCTCTGGTACACCTCCCCCCTTCCCTTTCACACTGTTTGGGCCAACAACCTGATCACACACACTCATTAGCCATATTATTATAATGTCATCATAACTGATCAGACTGACTGATAAAGGATCCATTATCATTAGTGATATTTACATTTTACATTTAAGTCATTTAGCAGACGCTCTTATACAGAATGACTTACAGTTAGTGAGTGCATACATTATTTGTTTTATTTTTCATACTGGCCCCCCGTGGGAATCAAACCCACAACCCTTTAGTTGCAAATGCTATGCTCTACCAACTGAGCTACATCCCTGCCGTTTTTCAGTAGTATTATCTCAACAAAAACTGGAAGTTTTGAACCACTGCTGTATAATGGTTTCCTGGACACAGACTTGCTTGGGAAACCGGCCCTAAATCCTTGAACAGATTATTTAGATTTTAGTCATTTAGCAGACGGTCTTATCCAGAGAAACTTACAGTTAGTGCATACATTTTTCTTTTCCATACTGGCCTCCCGTGGGAATCAAACCCACAACCCTGGCGTTGCAAGCACCATGCTCTACCAACTGAGCTACAGGAGGCCTGTGAGTATTTTAAAGCATAGAAACTGACTGTGAGAAAGTGTTGAGAAGACAGGAGGTTTTACAGGCCTGTGATTTAGACTGCTGGCTGTATGTACAGAAGTCTGGTAAAGTCATAGGCCTGGGGAGTTTGGCTGGGACTGGAGAGACATACCAGAACTAGTCTGGCTGTACCAATGACTGGGCTGTACCAAGGTAGCACCGCCCCTGACCAGGGATCAACCACAGGACTATACTGCCACCCATTGGATTTAAATGGGAACGACAGAGCAAACTTAGAAAATACTTTAACCTCACACTACACCAAAGCAAATTATTAAAGATCGCCAATGTTTCGAACTGTGATCGTTTAATCACTAGTGAGTCTCGACACAAATCACCTCAGACAAAATGATGAAGATCACAACATTTATTCATAGCAGAGAATGACACCAAGCCCCACGGTGTAGAGTACCGGACTAGCACACACATTCTCACACAGAATCTCAAAACATACATGATATAACCAAATCTGAGGACCACAGCATAGGATCACTCTATAATGTCTTTACACACTTTACACAGCTGAAGACAGAGGGGGACGCGGTGAGCCCCACGACCAGCATGGTGACGTCACACTGTCCCTCTGAGGAGGTGGTGACATCCTCGTAGAGCAACACATCAGCCAGTGACGTCACATCAGGATGTCAAACCCCACCCACTGCCGACAACTCAAACCAAGTTACAACTAGATACAACACCATAATAAACATTCTGTAAGAAAATAAATATCAATAATATTATTATAATAATATACTCATAGGTCTTTTTAAATAGGCTTGTCTTGTTAATCACTTGTCAAAACGGGGATGTTATGGCTGTAGTGCCACGTTGAAACCAGATGGAACTACAGTGATAGTTCGTTTTCTTAGATGGCATTTGAAATGTTTAAATTGTTAACAAATGTTCAGACTTTTCAACAGCTCTCATGTTTAGTTGAGTCTATTCTGAGCAGATATAATCCTCCACATTCATGCTCTAGGTAACAGGTTTCATCTCCCCCTCATCAAGTATCAACCCACATAGAAATACTTTCAACAACATTCACAGATAAACGCTTCCCAAAATCAAATACTACATTACAACAGCCCCAAACAACCATGAATAATTTAGCCTTAATCATTTGAGGGTAAAGCTGTGTGTGTGTGCATGCGTGTGAAAATGTGTGTGTGTCTGTGCATACACATTTATGTGTGTGTGAGCAAAGCTATCATGAGTGTGTGTGTTTTGTGTTTAAGGTAGCTGTGGTGTGTGTGTGTATGTGTGTGTGTATACGTGAATGTGTGCTTAAGGTATAAGTGGTGTGTATGTGTGTGCCTCCTCTACTCCATCTCTCTCTCCAAAGCCTCCACAGAGCGTTTCCTAGCGAACAGGTGGGTGGGGTCTCTTCCTCTCATGCTGGGCTGGATCTTGAAGGAAGGAGGCGACCCCATTGGCCAGCGCCAGCCGGCGGGGGCAGAGTTAGAACCCTGGTTAGAACCCTGGGGGCAGTGTTTGTTCTGCAGCAGCTGGAAGAGAGTTTCCATGTCCGGCCCCAGCCTAGCAACAAGCCCTGCCCTGACCACAGCCACTGTATCCTCATCACAGGCTAGCAGGGACTGGAGCAGAGTGCTGTAGTACCTGGAACACACACACACACTGTGTTATGACATAGACACACACAGTACGAACAAATATAAAAATGTATGCACTCACTACTGTAAGTCGCTCTGGATAAGAGCATCTGCTAAATGACTAAAACATTTTTTTAAACTTTAGACCCACACACAAACACACACATGTACATCCACGCACCCGCACACACACACACACTGACTGGCTCACCTGTTGGGGAAGTGTGCAGGTACCTGCACCACCTCTCCGATGGCCTCAGGGTTGGAGCGAGCCACACCACAGATATCCAGTCTACTGTAACAGTCCTCCTGGACCTAAACACACACACAATCTTTTTAACCCTCAGAAACTAGCACTTCATGTTGCCACACAGTAGAGGACAGCAAGTGTCCAAGTGGTTAAGCGTGTTGGGCCAATAACTGAAAGGTTGCTGGTTTGAATCCCAGAGCAGACTAGGTGAAAAATCTGTCAATGCGCACTTGAGCAAGGCACTTAACCCTAATTGCTCTTGTAAGTTGCTCTGGATAAGAGCATCTGCTAAATTACAAAAATGTAGAGGTTATTTTGGCACCGATATGAAGGCTGACATGTTGTGCATCTCTAATAAAGCTAGAGTGACTGACCTCAGAGATCATCCTCTGGAAGACTCCACAGCGCCTGATGGTCTGGAAGACTTTAGACGTGACGCCGTTGGCAATACACCTCAGACTCTCCTTTACAAACGTCTTACCCTGCACACACACACACAAACACTGGGTTAGAGATTTCAGTGGGTCGTCAAAAAAGTGTGTGTTTGTGTGTGTGTAGGCTTACCTGTGTGTTAAAGGTAGCTGCGGTGTGAAGGAACAGTTGACAGATATCGTGCATGCCATCCGTGTCACAGGTAGAATTCTCCAGGCAAGCAAACGTACCACATCCCACTGCTAGAGCACCGTTCAAACACCTAGCCACATCCGCTAGAGGGAGAGGGAGAGGGAGAGGGAGAGAGAGAGGGAGAGAGAGAGAGAGAGAGAGAGAGAGAGAGAGAGAGAGAGAGAGAGAGAGAGAGAGAGAGAGAGAGAGAGAGAGAGAGAGAGAGAGAGAGAGAGGTCAAACTTTAGCAATGGTCCAGTCCTCTTGACAGAGGCTGTAATGGGATAGACTTAACATACATTAAGGAATTTGCCTATTTCTCTAGCCATGGTAATGCAACTATTTTAGAAGAAAGGAAACTTTCATAACTAACTCCTGTGCATGGACCTAATACATCCTGCAGACTTTTTGGGATAAGAACTGCAGTTTGCATATTTTTTTCACAGTAGGCTAACCAGATGTAGGCTACTCACAGGGGCTGTTGGAGGAGAAGCGTGCACGGCGAGGAGAGGCTTCCTCCAGGTCGGTGTCGAAGGCGGCGGCAGTCCCCAGGACGAGGAAGACCGCGCACAGGCCGAACTTTGCGAGCATCTTGTCAGATTGTGATGTTCTTCGAGTTGCGACAGGTCGGCTTGATTTTTATCGGTGGAGAACAGTTGTGCTGTTGATATCTTGGTCGTTCCCTGACTGGTGTTAGTTACCGGACGTTTTTATAGCCGTTTGTTACATAAATCACTGGACAACCCGCGGGTTTGTCCAATCAGCGCCCGGCATCTCCAGTGGGGGGTCAGCGGCGCGCGCTATAGAATGTTTCCACTGAGCTTGCGCTTTGGAACTTCTTAACTTTCCGTGCGTGGGCTTATATTTATTCAGAACATTCATTGTGGAAGTTGAAACTATTTGTGATGATTTTATTCCCAAGTGCACAGTGTTGTAAAGTACTTGACACACACCGGTGCGCCTGGCACCTACTACCATACCCCGTTCAAAGGCACTTAAATCTTTGTCTTGTCCATTCACCTTCTGAATGGCACACATACACAATCCACAGTTGTGTAAATACTTAAGTCAAAATAAGTTAAAGTACTACTTAAGTATTTTTGGGGGGTATCTGTACTTTACTTTACTATTTATATTTTGGACATCTTGTACTTTTACTTCCCTACATTCCTAAAGAAAATAACGTACTTTTTACTCCATACATTTTTCCTGACACCCAGAAGTACTAGTTACATTTTGAATGCTTAGCAGGGCAGGAAAATTGTCAAATTCACACACTTATCAAGAGAACATCCCTGGTCATCCATACTGCCTCTGATCTGGCAGACTCACTAAACACAAATGCTTCGCTTGTAAATTATGTCTGAGTGTTGGAGTGTGCCCCTGGCTATATGTAAATACAACAAGAAAATGTTGCCATCTGATTTGCTTAATGTAAGGAATTTCAAATGATTTATACTTTTACTTTTGATACTTATGTATATTTTTGCAATTACATTTACTTTTGATACTTAAGTATATGTCAAATCCAATACCTTTAGACTTTTACTCAAGTAGTGTTTTACTGGGTGACACACTTTTACTTTGAGTCATTTTCTATTAAGTTATCTTTACTTTTACTCAAATATGACAATTGGGTACTTTTCCCACCACTGCAAGTGCATAGAGCGAGGTTACAAGAGTCTGCTGGGGTGAGAGAGACAAATGCAAAAAAAAAAAAATACTAGCCTACAATTAGTTTAATTTAGAACACTTCAGCTTTTTTTTTTGTTGCTTTATTTTATTTAAAAAATAGAACCCCATATCCTAGTTAAATTAGACCTAGGAAACGTAAATGTGTTGTTTTTAACAATTCCAGTCACGTTTCATTTGTAGCGGTTCAATCATGTAGAAAAGCAGATAAATCATTGTGAACAGCAGCACAATATACTATTATCACTACTAACTGGCAGAATGTGGAATGATTTAGCTGCTCTCACTCCAAACCACAAGTACTTTTCACGAGAACATTCATATCTGTGTAAGCTTTTGATTATTGTAGTGATTTGGTGCATTGTGTAGGCTTATTGTTCCTGAAAAGAGCCCTAAACTGTGAATATGGTTTAATGAATATTTGTGGTTATTATTGTCTCCCCCCTGTCCTCCATCTCTCCTTCTTTCAAATAAACAAACAGTGTTCAGTGGCGCCTGGGCTTCTGAGCTCCTCTCCTCCTCAGAACAATCTCTCTCTCTATCTCCCTCTCTCTCTCTGGACAAAGAGAGAATTATTGTCTGTTACCCACCAGTTTATCTGAGCTCTATGAGGAGATCTACTCTATCTGGCTAGGATAGCTTTGGCCTCTAATTTGCCTATTCTTAGAGCCAGGCTAGGTTTGGAGAGGTGGACACATGCCTTCTGAAAGTATTCACACCCATTTACTTTTTCCACATGTTGTTGTGTTACAGCCTGAATTTAAAATGGAATAAATTGAGTTTTTTTTGTCACTGGCCCACACACAATATCCTATAATGTAGAAGTGGAATTATGTTTTTCTAAATTTTTACAAATTAATTACAAATGAAAAGCTGAAATGTCTTGAGTCAATATGTATTCAACCCCTTTGTTATGGCAAGCCTACATACGTTCAGGAGTAAATAACAAGTTAATAAGTAGCATGGACTCACTCTGTGTGCAATAACAGTGTTTAACGTGATTGTTGAATGACTACCTCATCTCTGCACACCACACATACAATTATCTGTAAGGTCCCTCAGTCGAACAGTAAATTTCAAACACACAGTGGTGGAAAAAGTACTCAATTGTCATACTTGAGTAAAAGTAAAAATACCTTAATAGAAAATGACTCAAGTAAAATGACTCAGTAAAATGTTACTTAAGTAAAAGTATAAAAGTATTTGGTTTGAAATATACTTAAGTATTAAAAGTAAATGGAATTGCTAAAATGTACTTAAGTATCAAAAGTAAAAGTATAAACCATTTCAAATTCCTTATTTTAAGCAAACCAGACGGCACCATTTAATTTTTATTGTTTTATTGACGGATCGCCAGGGGCACACTCCAACACTCAGACATAATTTACAAAGAGGCAGTAGGGACGAGTACTTTTGGGTGTCAGGACAAATGTATGGAGTAAAAAGTACATTATTTCCTTTGGGAATGTAGTGAAGTAAAAGTAAAAGTTGGCAAAAATATAAATAGTAAAGTAAAGTACAGATACCACAAAAAACTACTTAAGTAGTACTTGAAAGTATTTTTACTTAAGTACTTTACACTACTGCAAACACAGACTCAACCACAAAGACCAGGGAGGTTTTCCAATGCCTCGCAAAGAAGGGTACCTATCGGTAGATGGGTAAAAAAAAAAGCAGACATTGAAAAACCCTTTCAGCATGGTGAAGTTATTAATTACACTTTGGATGGTGTATCAATACAACCAGTCACTAAAAAGATACGGAGAGAAAGGAAACCACTAAGGGATTTCACCATGAGGCCAATGGTGACTAAAGAACAGTTAGTTTAAACTGTAACTGTGATAGGAGAAAACTGAAGATGGATCAACAACATTGTCGTTTCTCCACAATACTAACCTAATTGAGTGAAAACAAGGAAGCCTGTACAAAATAAAAATATTCCAAAACATGCATCCTGTTTGCAACAAGGCACTAAAGTAATACTGCAAAAAATGTGGCAAAGCAATTAACTTTTTGTCCTGAATACAAAGTGTTATGTTTGGGGCAAATCCAATACAACACATTACTGAGTACCACTGTGAGGACAGACGCAGGGAGACTGGAAGCAAGTACAGGTTGTGAACATTTAATGAAAAAACTGACATATAACAAAACAAGAGCAGGAGCGGGAGCAGGCGTGACAACCACTCTCCATATTTTCAAGCATAGTGGTGGTTGAATCATGTTATGGGTATGCTTGTAATTGTTAAGGACTGGGGAGTTTTTCAGGATAAAAAATAAACGGAATGGAGCTAAGCACAAGTGAAATCCTAGAGGTAAACCTGGTTCAGTCTGCTTTCCACCAGACACTGGGAGATGAATTCACCTTTCAGCAGGACAATAACCTAAAACACAAGGCCAAATCTACACTGGAGTTGCTTACCAAGAAGACAGTGAATGTTCCTGAGAGGCAGAGTTACAGTTTTGACTTAAATCTACTTGAAAATCTATGGCAAGACCTGAAAATGGTTGTCTAGCAAATGTTGCACAATCCAGGTGTGGAAAGCTCCTAGAGACTTACCCAGAAATACTCACAGCTGTAATCGCTGCCAAAGGTGCTTCTACAAAGTATTGACTCAGGGGTGTGAATACTTATGTAAATTAGATATTTCTGTATTTCATTTTCAATACATTTTCAATTATTTCTAAAAACATGTTTTCACTTTGTCATTATGGGGTATTGTGTTTAGATGGGTGCAAAAAATAATCTATTTAATCAATTTTTAATTCAGTAACACAACAAAATATGGAGTGGGGTATGAATACTTTCTGAAGGCACTGTGTGTGTGTGTGTTATCAGGGGGAAAGAGGTCATTGGTGAAGGTGGCAGGGTTTCCAAGATTACCTGTGTTACCATGGAGATGTAACTACTCCTGGTGACCCATTTACATTTACATTTTAGTCATTTAGCAGACGCTCTTATCCAGAGCGACTTACAGTTAGTGAATACATTTAATTTTTTTTATACTGCCCCCCCGTGGGAATCGAACCCACAACCCTGGCGTTGCAAACGCCATGCTCTATCAACTGAGCTACATCCCTGCCGGCCATTCCCTCCCCTACCCTGGACGACGCTGGGCCAATTGTGCGCCGCCCATGAGTCTCCCGGTCGCGGCCGGCTGCGACAGAGCCTGGATACGAACCAGGATCTCTAGTGGCACAGTTAGCACTGCGATGCAGTGCCTTAGACCACTGCCCCACTCAGGAGGACCCGGGGCGACTTCTTTGGATCTGATAACATCTCACAGCTCACACACACACACACACACACACCTCTTAAGCCTATAATGGGTTAAATGATCTGATAAGGACCGCAGTGCTGTGACGTCTGAGAACGGAAATGATCCTGTTTTACCTTTCATTAACTTTCCCCTCATTCACTCTCACACTCATTCTCACACGCTTCCTCTCATTCTTTCTCCCATTCTTCCTTTCACACGCACTGTCACCTCTCTCTCCTTCTGGGTGTTTCTGCATGATACTGTGTTCTGTTAATGTATTCAGACATTTGATACAGGGTTTTAGGTTTTTATTTTGCTTATATATTATGAACAAATGTTGTGGAACTGTACACTATTCCCCTACCCATTCAAAACAGATCAACACAAACAAATCTCTAAAATATACTTATTTTTTTGTAGAAAACTGTCATGAAGAGCATGTGAAAACAACAGCTGTCAGTGGTGGAAAAAGTACCCAATTGTCATACTTGAGTAAAAGTAAAGATACCTTAATAGAAAAGGACTCAAAGTAAAAGTGAGCCAGACGGCACTATTTTTTATTTATTTTTATTTTTACCGATAGCCAAGGACACAATCAGACATAATTTACAAACGAAGCATGTGTGTTTAGTGAGTCCGCCAGATGAGAGGCAGTAGGGATGACCAGAGATGTTCTCTTGACAAGTGTGTGAATTTGACAATTTTCCTGTACAAAATGTAATGGGTACTTTTGGGTGTCACGGAAAATGTATAGGGTAAAAAGTACATTATTTTCTTTAGGAACGTAGTGAAGTAAAAGTACAAGTTGTCAATCATATAAATAGTAAAGTACAAATACCCCATAAAACTACTTAAGTACTTTACACCACTGTGGATTGTGTATGTGTGCCATTCAGAATGTGAACGGAAAGACAAAGATTTAAGTGCCTTTGAACGAGGTATGGTGGTAGGTGCCAGGCGCACCGGTTTGTGTCAAGAACTGCAATGCTGCTGGGTTTTTCATGCTCAACAGTTTCCCGTGTGTATCAAGAATGGTCCACCACCCAAAGGACATCTAGCCAACTTGACACAACTCAATATTAGGAAGGTGTTCCTAATGTTTGGTATACTCAATGTGTGGTGTTCAGTCAGAACTCCAGATCCCAGCCAGACTCATCGTCTGGGGGCGTGGCCTCGTTGTCATCAGGGAAACAGTCAAAGTTGCCAGTGTCCAGTGGACCCTTCACCTGGGAGAGAGGAGATAGTGCTGAGTGTGTGTGTCTGTGTGGTGTGTGTGTGTGTGTGTGTATGTGTGTGTACATACAGTAGGAGTGAAGGGAGGGGCCAGAGTTGCCTGTCGGAGTCCCTCCCAGTTAAAACCTTCAAACCACCTGGAGACAAACAGGAAACAGTCACCCAGAACCAACCAATCACACCTCTCCTTATAGTATCAAGACGACCTGGGCTGTGTCCGAAATGGCACCCAATTCCCTATAAACTGCACTACCTTTGACCAGAACACTATGAGGCCAATAGGGTACCATTTCAGGTGAAGGCCTGAAAAAAGACAACCTTGACAAAGTCAATTACTGACTCTTAGGCATAGAACTGAGGCGAAATCATATCCGTTGCTTCAGCTGCTCTAGTGAGAATCATGCCTGTATGGTAGCTAAAGAATACAACTTTATATCAGAAAATATAGCTATTACTGTTCCATGCAGTTCTATTGGTAGGTAGGAACAGTAGTCACCATCACCATGGTAACTCTTACTTGTGTTTTTGGATGTCCTTCACCCTGTTCTTCTGGTTCCCCACCCTCTCAGATGGGTTGTCCCTGGGCAACACACACGCACGCACACACGCACAAACACACACACACACACACACAGTCACATATACACACTGCACAAGCATCATTTGATGAGTTCTCTATGCTCTGAGTCGTGTGTGTGTAACCTGCAGAGGCGTTTGATGAGGTTGGCAGCACTCTTGGAGATCTTCTTGGGGAACTCCACCATGTCAATTCCTCTCAGGATGATGTTATAGGTCTTCATAGGATCAGAACCAGAGAACGGAGGACTGGTGAAAGAGACGGAGAGAGAGAGGCGGGGGATGCAAGAGAAAGGTCCTCTTAAAATTTTGACCAATAATAAGACTAATAAGACCTCATCTCTGACACACACACACACACGCGCTCACACGCACGCACACACACACACACAGGTGGGTTTACCTGCCGCTGAGCAGTTCGTAGATGAGTATCCCCAGGGACCAGCAGTCAACGGAGACATCATGTCCCTTGCTCAGGATGATTTCTGGGGCCACATACTCTGGAGTCCCACAGAATGTCCACGTCTTTTGACCAAGATCCACCTTCTTAGCAAAGCCAAAATCCACCTGATACACACACACACACACACACATGCACACGCACTCACACACACACCCCCACACACACACACACTACATTGGGAGCATTTCCTGTTTCTGTGTGACTGCAGATTAAGATCATGTGACAGATCATGTGACACTTAGATTGCACACAGGTGGACTTTGTTTAACTAATTATGTGACTTCTGAAGGTAATTGGTTTTACCAGATCTTATTTAGGGGCTTCATAGCAAAGGGGGTAAATACATATGCACGCACCACTTTTCCATGATTTATTTTGTAGAATGTTTTGAAACAAGTTATTTTTTTCATTCCACTTCACCAATTTGGACTATTTTGTGTATGTCCATTACATGAAATCCAAATAAAAATCCATTTAAATTACAGGATGTAATGCAACAAAATAGGAAAAACGCCAAGGGGGATGAATACTTTTGCAAGGCACTGAAGGTGTTTGTTTTTGTCCAGGTGTGAAAGGGCAGTGTGGAGTGCAATAGAGATTGCGTCATCTGTGGATCTGTTGGGGCGGTATGCGAATTGGAGCGAATTGGAGTGGGATGATTTTTTTCATTCCACTTCACCAATTTGGACTATTTTGTGTATGTCCATTACATGAAATCCAAATAAAAATCCATTTAAGTTACAGGTTGTAATGCAACAAAATAGGAAAAACGCCAAGGGGGATGAATACTTTTGCAAGGCACTGAAGGTGTTTGTTTTTGTCCAGGTGCGAAAGGGCAGTGTGGTGTGCAATAGGGATTGCGTCATCTGTGGATCTGTTGGGGCGGTATGCGAATTGGAGCGAATTGGAGTGGGATGAGGGTGTTGATGTGAGCCATGACCAACCTTTCAAAGCATTTCATGGCTACAGATGTGAGTGCTACAAGGCAGTGGTCATTTAGACAGGTTATCTTGCCATTATTGGGTACAGGGACTATGGTGGTTTGCTTGAAATATGTAGGTATTACAGAATGGGTCAGGGAGAGGTTGAAAATGTCAGTGAAGAAACTTGCCAGCTGGTCAGCGCATGCTCTGAGTATGCGTCCTCGTAATCCGTCTGGATGTTAACCTGTTTAAAGGTCTTACTCACATTGACTATGGAGATCGTGATCATGCAGTCGTCCGGAGCAGCTGGTGCTCTCACATATGGTTCAGTGTTGCTTGCCTCGAAGTGAGCATAGAAGGCATTTAGCTCATCTGGTAGGCTAGCATCACTGGGCAGCTCTCGGCTGGGTTTCCCTTTGTAATCTGTGATAGTTTGCAAGCCCTGCCACATCCGACAAGCATCAGAGCCGGTGAAGTAGGATTCGATCTTAGTCCTGTATTGACGCTTTGTCTGTTAGATGGTTCGTCGGAGGGCATAGCAGGATTTCTAATAAGTGTCTGGATTAGTGTCCCGCTCCTTGAAAGCGGCAGCTCTAGCCTTTAGCTCAGTGCGGATGTTGCCTGTAATCCATGGCTTCTGGTTGGGATATGTACGTACGATTACTGTGGGGACGATGTTGTCAGTGCACTTATTAATGAAGCCGGTGACTGATGTGGCAATAAAATCATCGGCCACCAGGAGCGCCGCCTCTGGATGAGCATTTTCTTGTTTGCTACAGCTATGAAAAATACAGATAAAAACTATCTTGGTAAGTAGTATGGTCTACAGCTTATCATGAGGTATTCTAACTCAGGCGAGCATAACCTCGAGACTTCCTTAATATTAGAGATCGCGCACCAGCTGTTGTTGTCAAAGAGACACACACCACCTCCCCTGATCTTATCAGACTCTGCCGTTCTGTCCTGCCGATGCATAGAAAAACCAGCTAGATGTATATTATCCATGTCCTTGTTCAGCCATGACTTCGAGAAGCATAGTATATTACAGTTCTTAATGTCCTGTTGATAGGATTGTCTCGTACAGAGCTAGTCCAGTTTATTCTCCAGTGATTGCACATTCGGCAATAGAACAGAGGGTAGAGGCGATTAATTGATTTGCCACCGTAGTCTTATCAGGGTGCCTGCGCGCCAGCCTCTATAGCACCGTCTCCTCTTCCTTCGAGTGTCGGGATTGGGGCCTGGTCCATAAAAATCAATATGTCTTTCACCTACGACTCAAATCGAGGTTAGTGATAGCTGTTCTGAAATCCAGTAGCTATTTTCAGTCATAGGAAATGGTTAACATTATGTACAAACAAGTTACAATCAGCGTAAAACCCCCCCACAAAATAGCACAATTGGTCAGGAGCCCGTAAAACGGTCGCTTTCCAATGCCGCTTTCCAATGTAGCGCCATTGTGGTTGAGGTTAAGGGTTGAACCCGAGATGTGGACATGAATCTAGGGTTAGGGTTGTGGTTGAGGGTTAAACTGGGATGTGGACATGACCCTAGGGTTAGGGTTAGGGGATAGCTGGTTAGGCAGTTTGTTTACAGTCAGGTTTTACTTGCAGTTGCTCTAGACGTACACACACCCACCTGTCTCTCAGTAGAGTCCACAGTTCTCCTCCCAGACAGGCCTCCAGTAGCATGTACAGATATTTAGAGTCCCTGAACGTCCGATACAACCTGGACAAGACACACAGCGTCACTGTGTTTGTGTGCGTGTGTGTAACTGATGGTGAAGGGGCTATGTGGTGTGTGTATCTGTGTTTGTGTGTACCTTTAATTAATTATTTAATTAATAATTAATATTAATTAATATGCCATTTAGCAGACGCTTTTATCCAAAGCGACTTACAGTCATGAGTGCATACATTTTTGTGTATGGGTGGTCCCGGGGATCGAACCCACTACCTTGGCGTTACAAGCGCCGTGCTCTACCAGCTGAGCTACAGAGGACCACCTGACGGTGAAGGGGCTGTGTGCATCCATCATGATGTGTCTCTCTGAGAGGATGTGGTCCTGTTGGCTGGTGTCCAGAATGTGACGCTTCTTTAGAACCTTCAGAGCAAACGACCGACTGGTGTCACTATTTAACTGAACCTGAAGACACACACATTATACAAATTAAACACACACACACACACACACACACACACACACACACACACACACACACACACACACACACACACACACACAGACACACACACACAGGCATTACAGACACACACTCATGTAAGCATGCACACATTATATACACACACACTCACACTTACCAGCTCAACGCGACTGAAGCCTCCTAGTCCGAGGGTGCAGATGACATGGATATCAGTAAGAGACACACTGGAGAAAAACCCTGCCTCTGCCTCCAACCTGGATTGACAAGGGGTCAATCAATTGCACAATATCTTTTCAATGTAATTAGCGAGTCTGTATGGTTATATACATCACAAACTGAATTTACTAAACTCAGTTTGGTGAAACAAGAAAGAGTGAGAAAGAGAGTGAGAGTAGAAGATGAGAATTTTAGAGTTGTAGTGACACTTACTTGGCCTTGAGCTCATCACTCTCGTTCTGTCTGCTGTTGACATCATCCAGCCCTCCAATCAGATGCATGAATGACCTGGAACACAACCCCACATCAACCAATGAAGAACCATTCAATTACATGCACACACACACACTCTATCTCCCTCTCTCTCTCTTTCTCTCTATCTCTCTCCTGGGGTCTCTCACTCTCTGTCAACAACCAGACAGGTGACTCCTCCTACTGCTGTCACACTGGCCGTATGAACATCCTCCCTGGAGCGAGAGAAATATTGATTAATTCATTCATTATAAACATAAATATGAAGTAATCTTTATTACCTTCCTTTGCCTAATAGGACTCTACCTAATAGAACTCTGCCTAATAGAACTCTACCTAATAGAACTCTGCCTAATAGAACTCTGCCTAATAGAACTCTGCCTAATAGAACTCTGCCTAATAGAACTCTGCCTAATAGAACTCTACTCTGATTCTTTGAGACTGTATGTTTGTTTATTGGTTTGTTTGGTTGGTTGGTTATGTTAAATACATTTATACATTGTATGTCAGGTTTGTGTTTGCATGTCCATTAAAGCTGCTTGTTGTTGTTTGGTGGTTAGCAGTGCTGTTGTCTCACCCTTTCAGCGCCTGCTCTCCAAACCAGTCCCCACTAGTGAGAGTGGTTAGAAACTCTGGATTCTCATTGGATGATTTCTGCTGTGTGACCTTTACCTGAGGGCAGGCAGGCAGGAGAAATGACACAAAGAAGGGGGAGAGGAGAGGGGAAGAGGAGGTAGAGGAGAGGGGAAGAGGAGGTAGAGGAGAGGGGAAGAGGAGGGAGAGGAGAGGGGAAGAGGAGGGAGAGGAGAGGGGAAGAGGAGGGAGAGGAGAGGGGAAGAGGAGGGAGAGGAGAGGGGAAGAGGAGGGAGAGGAGAGGGGAAGAGGAGGTAGAGGAGAGGGGAAGAGGAGGGAGAGGAGAGGGGAAGAGGAGGGAGAGGAGGAGGGAAGAGGAGGGAGAGGAGAGGGGAAGAGGAGGGAGAGGAGAGGGGAAGAGGAGGGAGAGGAGAGGGGAAGAGGAGGGAGAGGAGAGGGGAAGAGGAGGGAGAGGAGAGGGGAAGAGGAGGGAGAGGAGAGGGGAAGAGGAGGGAGAGGAGAGGGGAATAGGAGGTAGAGGAGAGGGGAAGAGGAGGGAGAGGAGAGGGGAAGAGGAGGGAGAGGAGAGGGGAAGAGGAGGGAGAGGAGAGGGGAAGAGGAGGGAGAGGAGAGGGGAATAGGAGGTAGAGGAGAGGGGAAGAGGAGGGAGAGGAGAGGGGAAGAGGAGGGAGAGGAGAGGGGAAGAGGAGGGGTGAGAAGAGGGGAAGAGGTAGGAAGTTATTGGGAGGAAGTCTGTGAATTTAAATGATGATTATTTGTGGTATGTTTTCAATGCATTACTGCATATGTCCACACGGCGGCAGCATGATTGTGATTATATACACTTCAGATCTGCTCTTCCTCCTCCTCCTCATCATCACCTGTCCTTCGCTGATGATGAAGAAGGTGTCTCCTGTGGCACCCTGCCTGATGATGTAATCACCTTCACTGTAGTGAGTCTGAGAAAGAGAGAGATAGAGGAGAGAGTGAGAGTGAGAGTGAGGAGCAGGAAATGACAAAGGAGAGGGAGAACTGCAGAGGACAGCAGAGGAGAAGAGAGAATAGTGGAGAGAGAGACAAAGGGAGAGAGGGTGAGAGACAGAGGGAGGGAGAGAATGGAGGAGAACAGCAGAGGAGAAGAGGGGGGGGGGGGGATATTAAAGTTATTAAACTTGTGTCTCTCAGACAGAAGCACTTTACCACAGCAAGGAGTGTCTGTAAAAGCTGGAAGGCATGTGACTTGTGTCTATGGCAGTATGCAGTTAACATGCATGTGCGCGCACACACACAAACTCTTGAAACTAAGAAACTGCATCTAATCCACACTGACTGTCACCACCATCTGCTCTCTCCATCTGACCATGCCAGTGTGTGTGTGTGCGTGCACTCCTCACCTCCTCCAGAACATCAGCCACCTTACTAAGAATGTCCTCAGGCAACGACTGAAAGGAGGGAACACTGACAGAGAGAAAGCGAGAGAGAACTTGTCATGAATTGTCTAAATCAATTGTGTGAATAATAATTTTGACAGAAGCTAGCAAATATTCTGTGTTTTGTGTCTATTCAACTAGGCTCATAGAAGTCTGCAAAGCTGCATAATGTATGTTTGAAGCAGAAGCTAACTGTGTGTGTGTGTGTCTGTCACCTGCGGATGAACTCCATATACTGGAAGTGTTTGATGAGTCCATTGCTCATCATGATGGTCTGAAACCCCTGTCTGTCTATCACCCACAGCTTAATGTCAGTCAAAGCTGGAGAGCCCTGCCCTGTCCTAACCTTCCCCCACCCCACCCCTCACCTCACCTGCCCTGTCCTAACCTCCCCCCGACCACCCACACAACACATGGTCACTACCTGTCAATCAACTCTGAATAGGTGATGGAGAGAGATAGAGACAAGGTTGAGGAAGAATGAAAGGGGGACATTTTAAATGGAATGCTGTTGACATAGGCTAAAGACGATAGAGGAGCGGAAAGGACGTGGGAGAGATGCTAAAGAAGAAGGAGTGAAAGAGCAGGACTTCATCTTTTCCATCCTATTCACCTCTTTCTATCTCTCTCTCTCTGCATACCAATAGTTGCCTGACCCCAAATAACATTGTACAGCAAACATTTCACCATTCAGAGAATAAAGCGCAGAAGAGTATAGAGATGTCTGTGTGTGTGTGTGTGTGCGTGCCTGTGTGCCTGTGTGTGTGTGTGTCTTAGCAGCGTAGATCTGACACAACACCTCACCCCAATCACTCAGCCGCAACACACACACATTAGTCTGACACCAAATCTCACCTCAATCCATCAGAATAAACGTTAGTGGCAGAAAGGAGGATGAAGAGATTTCAAAAAAGACTATACAAAATCTGATTTCAATCAAAGGGCTGTGTGTGAGTTCTACCTACAATAGCAGCATGTGTGTTACCTGTAACAGTAGCGGTCCTGGTACAGTTGTAGAGGACGGCCAGTTCTCCAAAGACCTTCCCAGGATCCATGGTGCACAGCTTCTGTCCCCCTTTAGTAACCTCCACCTTCCCCTCTATACACACACACACACACACACACACACACACACACACACAATTAGATCATACACTCCATTCACTTTGATAAATATCCACAAATGGATAGGAGAGTGTGGGTGTATTATCATGAAAGAGATGGTTGTATTCATCATATGTGTTAATGAAACAGATCATAGGTAATATTAACGCATGCCTTAAAGTGTGAATGAGTGGGGAGTTGGGGAGTTCCGTTCAGTTCAGGAAGGTTTTATGATGTAATTGTTTTTGTGTGTATACATTTGTGCATGTGAATGAGAAACAAAGAGAGGAAAATAATCTGCAATAAAAAGAGAAAGGAGAGATTAACAGATATTTTTTAAGAGGATAGAAGTCAAGGTGTCAGGAATAGATGACTCACAACGCCTGAGAGAGCAAGGTGTGTGTGTGTCTGTGTGTCTTTGTGTGTGATTGACCTGTCTGCCCCTGCTACAGTGAGCTCACTATACTGACCTTATATACAGTATTATCTCTCTCCATCTCCCCTTGACTATTATACCTTCTCACCTCTTTACTTCCTCTCTCACCGTCTCTCCCTCCTCTCTCTCAACCTCACTCCCTCCCTCCCACAATCTCTCTATCCCTCTCTCTTAAAGGCCCAGTGCAGTCAAAACAATTGATTTTCCTGTGTTTATATATATTTTTTCACACTATGAGGTTTGAATAATACTGTGTTTTGGTGGGACAGAGTTTTGGTCTTCCATGGTGACATCTCCATGCTGTAAACTAGTTAATAGACCAATAAGAAAGAGAGTTCCAAACAGACAATAGTCAGTTTTCCCCTCCCCACTCAGGCCACTCCCAGACAGTCCTAATAAGATTATTTGTTAAGAAGCTATTTTTGTTTATTTTTGACAATTTTAATGGAAAACAATCACAGTAAGGTACTTAATTGTTATCCAGAAATTATTTGATATTGAGATCAAAACAGCTGCATTGGACATTTAACTTATTTTCCCACCTCATCTCTCATCATTAATCTCCCCATCCCCATCCCCATCCCCATCCCCATCCCCTTAATGTCTCTCACCCTCCAGTACATAGACCAGAGATCCGTTGTCTCCCTCCTGTAGGACACAGCAGCCCTGGGCCAGACGGGTGGGATGCATACAGTCCACTATGGTCTGAATCTACAGAGAGAGAGAGGGGGGGGGGGGGGCAGAGAGAGACAGAGAAAGAGAGAGAGACGGGGAGACAGAGAGAGAGAGAGAAGTAAATACATTGATATCTATCAACAGACAGTGAGAGTAATACTACAGCAGTATTACAGTAATACTATATAGTCATGGTACCTGTCCCTGCTCCAGGTGTTTCATGAAGTCATTCTCCAGCAGAGCCCTCTGGATCAGCTCTCTAGACCTGTACACAGAGAAAGTGTTTGTGTGTGTGTGTGTTTGTGAGATAGATAGATAGATAGATAGATAGATAGATAGATAGAGAGAGAGAGAGAGAGAGAGAGAGAGAGAGAGAGAGAGAGAGCATGTATGTGTGTTTGCATGTGTATGCATGTGTTTGTGTACTTACACCTCGCTCTTGCTGTAGTTGGTGAGTGTGACGTGTGTGAGTTGGGCGGGGTCCAGGGCAGTGGGTTCTGCTGATATTGCCTGTCTCTTAGTCCGCTGTGGCTCATCAGGCACTGGTGGGGATTGCCCGGGTGCTGACGGACACATATTTGGGTTAGGCTTTAGCTCTTTGTTGCATTGGTAGTGCACAGTAATTGTTATATAGTATACAGTGCATTCTGAAAATATTCAGACCCCTTCCCTTTTTCCACATTTTGTTACATTACATTCTTATTCTAAAATGGATTTTAAAAACAAAAAATCCTCATTCATCTACACACAATACCCCATAATGACAAAGTGATAACAGGTTTTTATAAATGTTTGCAAATGTATTAAAAACCAAAAACAGAAATACCTTATTTACATAAGTATTCAGACCCTTTGCTATGAGACTCGAAATTGAGCTCAGGTGCATCCTGTTTCCATTGATCCTCCTTGAGATGTTTCTACAACTTGATTTGAGTGCACCTGTGGTAAATTCAATTGATTGGACATGATTTGGAAAGGCACACACCTGTCTATATAAGATCCCACAGTTGACAGTGCATGTCAGAGCAAAAATCAAGCAATGAGGTCAAAGGAATTGTCTGTAGAGCTCCGAGACAGGATTGTGTCGAGGCACAGATCTGGGAAAGGGTACCAAAATATTTCTGCTGCATTGAAGGTCCCCAAGAACACACTGGCCTCCATCATTCTTAAATGGAAGAAGTTTGGAACCACCAGACTCTTCCTAGAGCTGGCCGCCTGGCCAAACTGAGCAATCGGGGGAGAAGGGCCTTGGTCAGGGAGGTAATAATAATAATAATAATAAGTGACCAAGAACACGATGTTAACTCTGACAGAGCTACAGAGTTCCTCTGTGGAAATGGGAGAACATTCCAGAATGACAACCATCTCTGCAGAACTCCACCAATCTGGCCTTTATGGTAGAGTGGCCAGACGGAAGCCACTCCTCAGTAAAATGCACATGACAGCCCACTTGGAGTTTGCCAAAAGGCACCTAAAGACTCCTCAGACCATGAGAAACAAGATTCTCTGGTCTGATGAAACCAAAATTGAACTCTTTGGCCTGAATGCCAAGTGTCACGTCTGGAGGAAACCTGGCACCATCCCTATGGTGAAGCATGGTGGTGGCAGCATCATGCTGTGGGGATGTTTTTCAGCGGCAGGGGCTGGGAGACTAGTCAGGATCTGGGTTTCTGTATAGCACTTTGTGACATCTGCTGATTTAAAAAGGGCTTTATAAATACATTTGATTGATTTAATTTGATTGAAAGATAAACGGAGCAAAGTACAGAGAGATCCTTGATGAAAACCTGCTCCAGAGCGCTCAGGACCTCAGACTGGGGCGAAGGTCCACCTTCCAACAGGACAACAACCCTAAGCACACAGCCAAGACAACGCAGGAGTGGCTTCGGGACAAGTCTTTGAATATCCTTGAGTGGCCCAGGCAGAGCCAGGACTTGAACCCGATCGAACATCTCTGGAGAGACCTGAAAATAGCTGTGCAGCAACGCTCCCCAACCAACCTGACAGAGCTTGAGAGGATCTGCAGAGAAGAATGGGAGAAACTACCCTAATACAGGTGTGCCAAGCTTGTAGCTTCATACCCAAGAAGACTCGAGGCTGTAATCGCTGCCAATGGTGCTTCAACAAAGTACTGAGTAAAGGGTTTGAATACTTATGTAAATGTGATATTTCCGTTTTTTCTTTTTAATAAATCTGCACAAAAATCCTAAAAACCTGTTTTGCTTTGTTTTGTGTGTAGATTGGTGAAGGGGTAGAAAAAAAAAACAATTTAATCAATTTTAGAATAAGGCTGTAAAGTAACAAAATGTGGAAAAAGTCAAGGGGTCTGAATACTTTCCGATCGCACTTCATGACTAGCTTGGTACGGTTACCTCCTACCTGTGTTCTCAGTGCTCCAAGTGGTCCCTGGGTGTTGTGGAGGGTTGCGGTGTCGGTCCAATTCAGTCTGCAGCTGTCTGATGAGGTCATCTTTAGTGTCCAGCTCCAACTCCAGCTCATCTATCAGAGCGTCTCTCTGACGGAGCTCCTAGATCTTAAGCTGCAGCGCAAACTGCAGGTCCCTCAGTGTACCCATAGCCTTGATATACACACATTGCATGCACACACACACGGGAATGGGGAATAAATAGTTTATTAGGTGAGTTTTGGGGACAGTTCCACCACATGCAAAATCCTTGATTATTCACTGGTTAATCCCATAAACATAAATACATTGAAATATAATAATGATATGCACATACAGGTTACAATCTAATTGAAATATGTAAACACACGTAAACCACTTGCTGATACTTTGGGAACGTCAAGTTTATGCAGTTATTAGAAAAATACATTTGAAGGAGTACAATTTTTTGTCCTACCTCTGTCCAAGCGCTGAGGTCTAGGTGTGAGCGAACAAGAAGCGCGTGCCCGCTCCTCCTGTTAACGATCTATTCACAGTTGTGTGCCGATCTCTAATCTCGTCATGTGTCAATTGATTTATAACTGATGTGAAAAGCGAACAGGATAGGATAATCAAACAGAGACTGCGACGAATGTGAATTAAAACGGTAATTTTAAAAGGTGTGGAAACTTCAGATGATGGAGAGAGAAATCAGACACATTCTCCCCATCTGCCGGTTGCGCTCTAGTGAAGATTTATAACCGAACACTCAATGGATAATTTCTACAATAGCCAATAGTGCGGTGCACGTATGCATAAAAGTTTGGATCTTTTTTTCCATAAATATATGGGCGATTAGTTTACAATAATTAAATAATAGCCTTGACACCATGCACATGATCACAGGTTTTACTTGAGATGTTTCAAGCTGAATATGTTGAATAAATAGTCCTATGATTAATAAGATTGATGACACCAGCTAACACGTTTTGGTATTTTTTTGTGTGGGCAAATCCACCTTCTTAGATAGCTGAAAACACAACATTGTAGTCATCAATCGTGACGAATCTCCACATCATGTTTTAAATATCTATCCGTTGCATTCACGGGGAATCTGTGGTCGACAAAACTAGATTTACCTACTAGAATAACCACCATGGCGGCACCCTGCACGGAAAACAATCACAAGCAAGGCACACTGGAATTGTATCCTTTTTACCACATATAAAACGTCAATATAACGTTTATTGACATTAACAACTGTTGATTGTATGGCCTCTTTGACATTGTATGCATATTTTGATAATTTAAAATGAAAGAGAGTGAACGCGTCCTTGACAGTTCCGCAGTGCTCTGGACGTCCCGTTCCCATCAACTCGCGAAGCGTCCATCGCGCTCCAGTCCCTCTCCCCAGACCGCGAGCCCCGGAAAGGAGGCATCAGCAAGGAGCTTACGGTTTCCGGCAGCACGCTGTCTGTGTGAGTATCTGCTGTATGGTACTACTGTAGGCCTAGACAAGATTGTTGAGTGCTACTGTTTATACTGACCGGTCATGTGAATCCCTCTCCCTCATCTCTTCTTTCACCATCTCCTGTCTTACGTACCTCTCACCGTACCCCATAAGGAGGTGGAGGGCAGATGAGGCCCGTATCCTGCGTGTCTCTGTGGGGTCGTTTATGGACCACCTCTCCCTGGTGATGGAAACCATGGAGTTGTTCGGACCACCTGTGCCTCAGTGACCACTCACGCACTCAGCAGTCTCTGTCTGTTCTACATTGACCTGAGAGAGGAGAACCAAGAGAAGCAGTGTTATGCTGAACATAGGGGGTCTCTCTGGTCGACAGACCCAGCAGAAGCATGCTGTGAACCTCGGTATAGAGCGACATGTCCCACTTTCAATCCTCTGCTATTCAAATAGAAGGAACTGGAACTAGAAACACTGTGATTGCAATCATAGAAAAAGTACCAGTGGTATTTATTAAGACACAGAAATTGTCTTATTTCAGCGATGGATGATTCTTGTTTATATTTGACTATGTATTTAGTTGGTTCATGTTGTATGATTTGTATTAAGGAATAAAAATTGCATTCTCTTACGCCATTGCGACATTTCTGTAGTTGGTTCGTTAGAATGTCATTTAGAGCAGTGGGCCTGCAGGTCCAATAATACTAAGACAAAAAAATGACAACTGACACATTTCCATAAAGTAAACATTTATGTTTTACAGTGGAGAAGAGATAAGCAACAAAAGATGACAGTTGAAGTAGGAGTTGTCCTAAAATCTTCACGTAGACAGATCACTAAGGATTTTTGCTCATTGGTTGTTGGCATGAACGAGACACATTATTTCTGTTACTAGAATATACAGCGACGCTAGTTGATGGTGTAGAATAGGAAGGCAGATTTAAGACAGTGGAATGGAAGAGAGGTGATCAATTGGCCCAAAGAGAGGCGCAGCACACTACTGTTAGGGCAGAGGATATGGGTTCCAAACCCTAGACACTTCTAGATAGCCTCCTGGTAGACCTGAGAAGTGGTATAAGCAATATGACAGAAACTACTGTTTCACTAGAACCACACTGCTTACACAAATCAGATGATTTTTGATGTATTAGGGGCCTTGTGGGTGCGAGCTAGGGTTTAACTTGAGACAGGCCTATGGCGATTGCTCATCTCATGACCTCATTCCATAAAGGTATGACCAGCCTCTACCTATACAGGGATATAGTTGTGTAGTATGGTTAACAAAACAAAAAATGTACAGAACTAAATACAGTATAAAAGAACAGAACGTACTCAGAACTGATGTTGCTGTTGGGTTGAGAGAATGTCAGTGCACACTGTCATTTTCTGATTAAACATATTTCCCTCCACTGCATCTAGTTAGCTTAGCACTCTCTACACAACTGTTTAAAAACAGACAAACTTATGAAATACAACTGATTCAAATATAAATGTCAAAGAAAGGGTCTAGGGGTTGACTGTTTGGCAACATAAGGACTGCTGAAAGGCAGAAAAATAACACATATACTGTATATATAGATCGATAAGACAGATCTGCCGCAGTAATACTTGTCATGAGATGAAAGGCACAGAGCGAGTGGAGTAGGTAAGAGTTGCTCCTAACCAATCCCTCTAATGGTTAAGGATAGGTTCGGGCAAGAGTCATCTGATCCTAGATCTGTAGTTAATGACAACTTCTACCTTGATCACAAACAGATAGACGAACAGTCTATACCTCAGTATAACAAAAAGGATGAAACAATTAAAACAACAACTAAGACATGACAATATTATTAGAAAGTATTATATAATAGGAGCATCATGATTGTATTTTCCATAGTATCAACGGTTCTTCCGTCTTATTAAAAAGTGATGCTGTGCAAGTGGGGCTTTCTCCTCTCCTTCCTGTTGGTCAGGTCGCCATGGGAGACGGAGAATTAAGAAAAATGTGTATGGGGTGGGGTGGGGGGTGTCCCCCCACCTCTGTCCATCGGGTGCATCTCAATAGTCTAAAGTGGATCCTCCCCTGGCCTCCTCTCCTTCATCTGCACTGATGTGAGAACACGGGAAGGCTGTGGGGAGATGGCCTTGGCTTCACCTGTCCCAGTCTTTCACACCAGTGCAGAGGACAAAAAGGAGACAAGGAGGAGGACTACTGAGATGTACCCATGTCCTCCCGGTCCTCTCCTCCATCCAACGTCCATCCATCGGTCATTGGTTGGTCTCAGCAGGAGCAGCCATCGCTGGAGGAGGGCTGGTCGTCTCTCAGTTTGATCTGGTCTGGGAAGTCATATGTCTCCACCTCAGACTCCTACACACACACAGACAGACAGTGTGCAAAAACAGCAAGTAGAAGAATTGTAAAGAAAAACAATCTTCCTCATTTTGGTGAGACCGATAGGATCTGCTGTACTTAAAACAGATATAGTCACATTGGATGGGTTGATTAGGATTCAAACCTTCTCTAAAAACAGCCTAATACATACTCTTAGAGTAGGTACATTTGCAGAGTTTGACAATGACATGAGTTCCAGAGCAGCCTCAGTGAACCAGTCTAACAGGTGTTTCCCAGCCAAGGAGAGAGAGGGGGTGGGGGTGGGGGGGGGTTCTAAACATGTGCTCTGCCTACCAGTGTGTAAGGAGGGCATATTTGGACAGGTGTTCCCTGTGGCTGCTTGAGGCAATATTTTGTGTGTGTGTGTACCTGTTTGAGGGCGTTGCGGGCGATGGTCTGGAATGCTTGCTCTACGTTGATGGCCTCTTTGGCACTGGTCTCAAAGTAGGGGATGTTGTTCTTACTGGCACACCAGGCCTGGGCACGCTTTGTCGTCACCTAGACAACATAACAGTAACACACCATGATATCATTAACACCACTGTGTCATACACACTTCCTCATAAATGGAACCATCTCTGTAGCCACAACAAACATTTGATAAGGTCTGACTGTACTGCCTACGCTCCACCACCTGACTGTTCTGGCTCTCCAATGGACGGACGGACACACCTACCTACCTGTCTGTTCTCAAGGTCAATCTTGTTGCCTAGCACCACAAAGGGGAAGTTATCTGGGTCTCTGGGGCTGGCCTGGATCAGGAACTCGTCCCTCCAGCTGTCCAGCGTCTTGAAGGTGTTGGGCGCTGTGACATCATAGACCAGCACGCAGCAGTCAGCCCCACGGTAGAACGCCACACCCAGAGATTGGAACCGCTCCTGCCCCGCCGTGTCCCAGATCTGTCAGGAGAGATATGTTTATTACTATGTTTGGCATTTTAGTACTTTGTTGTATCGTTTTCAAAATGTGATTACACTTAGAGGAAGAGAGAGGGAACGAGAGGGTCGGAATGAGTAGGGAAAGAGCGAGGGGGGAATGAGAGAGTAAGATACGATAGATAAGATAGCATTGTATTGTCTGTTTTCACAGAAATGTGCCTTGCAACATGGGGGGGGGGGGGGGGGGGGGGGGGGGGATGAAGGGAGAGATGCGTAAGAGGTCAAAAAGAGAGAACGAGAATAAAACTATATGACTCATTAATCACAGGATGAAATTTGACCAATCTCTGATTCAAACACACTATGACATATCTGGCAGAGGTAAGCACTCATGACTAGGCTAATAATATAGTAGCACACACACACAAGACCAACCTGCATGGTAACCAGCCTGTCATCCACCATCACCTCCTTGGTGAGGAAGTCAGCTCCTATAGTGGCCTTGTATTGGTTACTGAACCTCTTATTTACATACTGGTTCATCAGAGACGTCTTCCCTACCCTGGGGACACACCAACACACACACTTTACTAAACATTTAGAACTGTAGCGATTTAGGAGAACAGCCAGAGAAGGCCTTGAACCACTGACCCCCTGCACAACTACCTGTGCCATAAAGGTCCTGACTTCTTTACAAAATAAGTGACATCTAGTTGTGTAAACACCATGATCTTCTGGGCCCAGTTTTTCAAAAGTTATCTATCCAGATTTTGGATAGGATGAAATACATAGAAATAGAATGAATAGTACGGGAGTCCCCATTCAAGTCAATGATTAGTCTGTTCTATTCATTTTATTTCTATACATTTAATCCTCTGATAGGTGGGGTCCAGATAACTTTTGAAAAACTGGGCCCTTGTCACTCACCCAGAGTCTCCGAGGATGATCACCTTCAGCAGCACCTTCTTACGGGAGGCCATCTTTCCCTGGGACTAACGTAATTATGCTGAGAAAAGACAGAGGGGACAACAGTCAACTAAACTAGCTGGACTTGTAGCTGGCATTAGCTAGGTCATTAACAAGACACAGTAGGCTATTGGGTTAATTGTGAAAACAGACACAGGGCTCCAGTGTTATTGACACATTGTTAAAGGGAACTTATTTACACATCATGTGACACAGATTTACGAGTTTACTAGCTAAGAACCTTTAGCAAATTAGCATACCAGCTAGCTAAATATGTAGTAAGATAACTTGTCGACACGATAGTCGATCTAGCTAGAAAGCTTTATACGGCATAGTAAAAATCGAATTAAGTACCACTTACTAAAATGGTGATCTTACCAACTGTATAACACAAAATGTGACATTAACGTTACCAGGCAGGCAGTGTAGCGTATGCTAAAGTTTGCTACCGACTGGTCACACTGCAGTGTCGTCTGCAGACTGTCGAGGAAGAGCTGTCAAACAGCTAACATTAACTAGTTAGCAATTGGCTAGCGGCTCATGCTGTTTGATACCAACCAAGCACGCTGATAATATGCAACAGGATGTGTAAAACAGATGTATCTAGCTAGCTAAACGTATGAATCATCGAAGTACTAACTAGCTAACTATATGGACTGTCACAGAAAACCCAACAAACACAAATGTTCTAGTAGCGAACTAGCTAAAAGTGCCTAGCAAGCAAGCTAACATTAGCTAGCTAGCTACAGATGGTGTAAAAATAAAAAATGTCGACCAGTTAACATTACCTGTTCAATAATCAAACGGCGATAATACGGCACAGGGACAAAATGAACAATTTAGTCCCTTATGTCAGTTTGCCGGGATCTATGTCTATTTTTCCAAATGTGAAAGTGAAAATCCTGACCATCTAGCTAACGTTATCCAGCTTCATAAAACCTAGGTTAGCTAGCTAGCTCAGAACTTCCGCTTTTTGTTATGCTGTTGCTGGCAGAGTCACGAGGGGCTGACGTGTCTCCAGGTCAAAACCAATGAACGCCCTTCACATTTTGCATCAAATAGCTACAGTAGGTATAATGTATTTGTATTCAATGTCTTGACATTCCATGTTTGGAAGAATATGTCAGTCTGACAATGAGCCTTACATGGCAATAAGAAGATACTTTATCTGGTAGGTTTGTATCACAGTTATATAATATTTATCTTTATCTTTAATTACATTTACATTTACATTTACGTCATTTAGCAGACGCTCTTATCCAGAGCGACTTACAAATTGGTGCATTCACCTTATAGCCAGTGATATAACCACTTTACAATATGTTTTTTTTTCTTCTTTCTTTGGAGTGGGGTAAGGGGAGGGTAGAAGGTTTACTTTATCCTATCCCAGGTATTCCTTAAAGAGGTGGGGTTTCAAGTGTCTCCGGAAGGTGGTGAGTGACTCCGCTGTCCTGGCGTCGTGAGGGAGCTTGTTCCACCATTGGGGTGCCAGAGCAGCGAACCGTTTTGACTGGGCTGAGTGGGAACTGTGCTTCCGCAGAGGTAGGGGGGCCAGCAGGCCAGAGGTGGATGAACGCAATGCCCTCGTTTGGGTATAGGAACTGATCAGAGCCTGAAGGTACGGAGGTGCCGTTCCCCTCACAGCTCCGTAGGCAAGCACCATGGTCTTGTAGCAGATGCGAGCTTCAACTGGAAGCCAGTGGAGTGTGCGGAGGAGCGGGGTGACGTGAGAGAACTTGGGAAGGTTGAACACCAGATGGGCTGCGGCATTCTGGATGAGTTGTAGGGGTTCAATGGCACAGGCAGGGAGCCCAGCCAACAGAGAGTTGCAGTAAACCAGACGGGAGATGACAAGTGCCTGGATTAGGACCTGTGCCACTTCCTGTGTAAGGCAGGGTCGTACTCTCCGAACGTTGTAGAGCATGAACCTACAGGATCGGGTCACCGCCTTGATGTTAGCGGAGAACGACAGGGTGTTGTCCAGGGTCACGCCAAGGCTCTTTGCACTCTCGGAGGAGGACACAATGGAGTTGTCAACCGTGATGGCGAGATCATGGAACGGGCAGTCCTTCCCCGGGAGGAAGAGCAGCTCCGTCTTGCCGAGGTTCAGCTTGAGGTGGTGATCCGTCATCCACACTGATATGTCTGCCAGACATGCAGAGATGCGATTCGCCACCTGGTTATCAGAAGGGGGAAAGGAGAAGATTAGTTGTGTGTCGTCTGCATAGCAATGATAGGAGAGGCCATGTGAGGATATGACAGAGCCAAGTGACTTGGTGTATAGCGAGAATAGGAGAGGGCCTAGAACTGAGCCCTGGGGGACACCAGTGGTGAGAGCACGTGGTGCGGAGACAGATTCTCACCACGCCACTTGGTAAGAGCGACCTGTCAGGTAGGACGCAATCCAAGAGTGAGCCGCGCCGGAGATGCCCAACTCGGAGAGGGTGGAGAGGAGGATCTGATGGGTCACAGTATCAAAGGCAGCAGACAGGTCTAGAAGGACAAGAGCAGAGGAGAGAGAGTTAGCTTTAGCAGTGCGGAGAGCCTCCGTGACACAGAGAAGAGCAGTCTCAGTTGTCTCAGTCTCAGTTGTCACCCCTTTTTCTCTTCTAGCTGCCTGGTCTTCCATGACTGGAGATGTGAAAAGCAATCAAGTAATTCAAGGAGAAGTTCTCTTTTTAACAACCAAATCTATGTTACAGAAGGGTCCAGACACCATGTTTTTGAGAAACGTACCCCTAATGACCTAGCCAAAAACAGTACAGTATAGAGTTCCACAGTATGAGTCATAATACCCATAAAAGCTAGCAGTCAAACAGGGAAATGGTTCCACTCGTTTTCCCCATAGGTGATTTTAGAAACACTTAAAATAAGGGCTGTGTTTTGTGTGTACGCTTAGCCTGGTGTGACGTTTTGATAACCATCTAAACCTCTCTTGGACAATCATGCGTGCATACATTTTTTGTGTATGGGTGGTCCCGGGGATCAAACCCACTACCCTGGCGTTACAAGCCCCATGCTCTACCAGCTGAGCTACAGAGGACCAAGGTTACCAAGGTTACTTTATCAATATATTTGCCTGTATTTATCCCCCAAAAATGAAACGCTAATTAGCTGCTAATGTGGCTATCATACAGAACTAGAAATACCATGATGATCTGGACGAGACTGCCGAATCGAGGCAAAGGTAAGAATCTCTGGATTAACTGTGTAATGTTAGCTAAATGTAGTAATGAATACATTGGCTATATTTCTTTAAATTGACAATTATGTCAACTGTTTTGGGCAAGTTTTAAAATGACACAATACCTGTTAGCAAAGGTGTCAGCTAGAGATGACGTGCAGCTTCTTACAGGGATTTGTAGTCTTGCATGATATCTACTTTGATGTTAACTAGCATTTTTTTTCTTTCATTTTTGTCGACGCTCTTATCCAGAGCAACTTACAGTTAGTGAGTGCATACATTTTTCATACTGGCCCCTGTGGGAATCGAACCCACAACCCTGGCATTGCAAGCGCCATGCTCTACCAACTGAGCTACACGGGCCTGTGTGTAATCTGTGAGAAAATAGAGCCCGAAACAGATTTACACGGTTATCAAAAATCATGCCAGGCTAAGCCTACACGAAACACAGCCCTTATTTTAAGTGTTTCTAAAATCCCCTATGGGTAAAATAAATGGTGGAAAAACTATTGGAACCATTTCCCTGTTTGACTGCTATTTTTTATGGGTATTATAATGTGACTATAAAGATAGGCTTAAACTGCTTCTCCAATAGAAATCCCTGATCACACTTGTAGGCGATGTCAGCCCATCTCCAAATACTGTATGTGGCAAATATGTGGCCCAAAAGCAGATTAATGTGATTTCATATTTTAGCTATTGCAAGACCCCACACTGATAGAGAAAGCGTTACTACCTGTCTCAAATAAACTGGGGTGGAAAATACTCAGTTGGGGTTCTACTAACCAAATATGTTCAGTTTTTCAGGAGGGCTGTGTCCAACAACCTGTTGGTTATTACTCAGTCTTTCTTGTAATGCCTACATTAATCCTGCATGTTATATTCATTCCAAAACAATACATGAATTGACAGTTTTTGTCTTGAATATCAGTTGGAAAAACAAAACACCTTAACACTTTTTGTGTGAAATAAAACGCCATTCCATACACGATTTTCATGCACTCTTGCCTTGCGCTAATGGAGATGCCAAATACCAATTATTAGCAGGTGGTTAGTTAAGAAGCTAACTGCTTCAAAGACTGCAACAATGATGGACTGTCATACCTGTACAGTGGTGTCCCGTCATTCAGGGCAAGTGGGGCAGAGCCCCACCTGTTTCGAGCCCCACATTTGGAGCAAAAATTAAAACAAATAGTAAAAAATGTTTTTGGGGTTGCCTGTTTTGCATGTTATTTTGGCATTAATAGGTGTAACATAACAATTTGCAAACAATGTAAAAAATATATTTAAAAAAATTGAACTAATAAAGCCGCATACAAACATGGTCTCTTTTTTGCTTTCTTGAGTAAGGCAGCTCCAAAATGCAGTTGTTTCAGCCTAGCTCAGTGCTTTCTGTGGTGGTGGGGCAGCCA